GCCACTGAGGTCGATCTTGGGCTACTCGCATCCAGCTCCTGCCAACCTTGCGCAAATTGTGACTCCATCGTGCCTGAGGACGTCCTACACTACGTTTGCCTAGAGGCGGTCTCCACTCCAGAACTCGTCTGCCCAACGATTATCGGTGAACTGTTCCAATCATTCCATTACATTTCTATATGAAATAAATCATGATTATAGTGACGTTGTAACAACATAATAATAATTTGTAAATGTTGTAACATTATTATTTTAATGTTGTGAAGTTTCTTTTCGCTCGTTTTTCTCCGCAACTAAAAATATGTCCAATACGAATGTTAGGGAAAATGTTTTTTGGCCGATTCAAAAGACTTGTTCTTGAATTTGAATAAAGATGTAGGTATTGATTTCTGATAGATATTTGCTACATCCAGATTAAACCTGGTGACATTGTGCACTGAGAGCGGGGTAAGAAGAGATCATTTTGAAAGTTTGTGTGTTTGTATGTTGTTACTCAATCACACAAAAACTACTAACGGATTTGGATGAAATGTGTCACGCCTATAGATTAGAAATCAGAAATCAGAAATCAATATATCTTTATTCAAATTGGATGTATAGTACAACACTTTTGAATCGTCCAAACATTTTTTTCCCTACCACTCGTTATTGGACATATTTTTTAGCTGCGGAGAAAAACGAGCGAAAAAAACTCCACAACATTAAAAGCATAATGTGAAAAAGCATTATGACCTGGAATGAGAGATGGGATACTTTTTATCCCGGAAAATGTTAGGTTAAGTTAGGCTCACAAATTTAACTCCGACGAAGTAGTTAATCACATTAACTTAATATGAATTAAGTAACGTAGCGTAGTAGAACCAGATAAAGAGGAAACAGTGTTGCCAGAACTCAATAAGCTAAAATAACACATTACTGTATACAATATACAACAACATTGTGGAGCAAAAACGCCATTAAAATAACACAAAATGTTACAAAAGAAATGTGTTTGCGTCGCTGTGAGGAAACTGTTGCGCCCACAAAACAAAGAAAAGCTTAAAAGGGTGATCATAAACCGTTTTACGGAAACCGATGTCGCCGGCTCGTCCCCACTACATTTCCACCTAATGGATAATAGCCAATCAAACGACGCGGCATCAAACAATCAACATACCCGAAAGCAACGACGCAATCATTTGACGACCAATCGACCAATGACGACGCAATCATTTGACGACCTCCGTGGCCGAGTGGTTTGTACGCCGGGTTTCATGGTATCGCCGAATCGAGAGGTCCCGGGTTCGAATCCCGGTGGGGGCAGATGTTTATTTGATGAATACGAGCATTTGTACTCCAGTCATGGATGTTTAAATGTATTTCTATATAAATATACTTATTTATGTACAGTATATGTATTCTATCCGTTACCCTAGCGTCCCATAACACAAGCTTTACAGTGCTTACCTTGGGGCTAGGCTTATTGGTGTGTGTTGAAAAATATTTATTATTTATTTTATTTATTTATCAAAACCAAGTTTTGGTGAAGTTATGAGCATTTGCTAACACATAAACAGTTGTGTTGGCGTGCCTGCCCCACCCACAAGTTCCTTCTAACCTCTTTCTGTGTTAGTTTACCTCGCCGGGCTGAACCCAACATCTTTATTCAAGTAAACGTATGAATTATGTTTCTTGATTTCTGTACCCTGACCTTGACATTGCGTCGACAATGCTAGCCCGTAGCGAGTGATTCATAAAGTGCGTGCGTCGCGTCTGAATCGGTGATTCAAGGAAATCTGTTCTGTACAAATAGTAGACCACCCCAAACCGTCACCGATCGTGAGTCAAAGATAACAGAAAGACCCGTACTATGAACATTTGAAACTATTCTGCGAGTACCGACTACCAAGCGAGTTGTCTATAGACATTGCGATTCTCAGTCTTACTTTAGGTAACGATATTGCCCGCCCATTTACTGCGTTACAGGGATAAGCAAAAATAAAATTAGGTTAGTACTTTGATTTTTCCTTTCACGAGAGTTTTCCCGTAAAATCCTTTTGTTCCATCTTTCCATATTTGTTTCTTAGGTTTTCACGCACACCACTCATTAAGTAAAACAAGTTTGAACGGTACGGTATAGATGCACTGATTTATTTATTTATTGACGTTCCGCATCCATTTCAGGATCCGTCGTCTGAATAATAGTTTTATTTACTTTTTCTTTCGAATCTTTCCATGTCAAATTAAGTGTAAATACCTCGTACATGGAGTAGCTCGATGGCGCAGGCTATGTTAGCACCCGCCAATCCACACTGGGCCCGTGTGGTGGGTCATGGCTAGGGTTACCAGATGATAAAATCAAAAGTCCGGAGAAAAGGCTTTATTTCCATTGAAAAAACCTGAGATTTTTACAGTTTGAGAATTTTCTCTCAAAAGTACTTAACAATTTAAAAAAGTCGTAATATTATTGTTTACACTCTGCTTATACTTTTAAATCTTAACATGTGGGGCATTATATGAATCCATAATTAAAGAAAAAACCTTACTTATAAATGTATCTTCACATATTAAGTATGATAAAACTGATTAAGTACCGACTTGGATAATAAAGTACTGATTTTAATTGTGCAATTACTACCAATAGAAGATTATTTTTAGTATGTTTAACTTTTTATTAAAGAGATCTTTAAAACGTAAGCTGTATTTTATTGGAAATGGAAATTTAAAAAATCCTGAGATTTTATGAGATTTGCAAAATCCAGCCGCAATCCTGAGAGGAGTCCAAAAATCCTGAAATCTCAGGACAAATCCTGAGATATGGTAACCCTAGTCATGGCCCAATTTCCCTATTCCATTCACAGGGAAGGCCTGTACCCTAGCAGCGAAAAGTTCACTCTAAAATACTTGAAAAAGTGGGATCGAGTTGCGCTAAAAGTTCGTAGTAGGTACTACGCCTACGGCTTGGCGGCCCAAGGTTCTCGTCTGCTGAAAAAGATATATAGAGCTATCCGTTCTGCCTTTACAATCAACACGAAGTACAATCAGCCACACATCGATACCACAAACTGACAAGTTTTCTCAATAGACAAAGAATCTTATTACAAGCGACCTTAAGCTCAAATTCATTTGAAAAAACATCGTCAGTTTAGAGTAACTTAACCTTTGGCTGTGAACTAGTGTACAATGTTGTAAAGGTCAAAGCTCTCGCTTGGGAAACCATTTCTATCTTTCACTAGTCAATCAATCACTAGACGAGCGTCATTATAGACGATTAGTGAATGGAATCTTCATAATTCATAGAAAGCTATTAGAAAAAGTCGGTTTTGTGTAGTTTTTGGGTAGATTAAGTCTCTTCCTAGTCGTGCACTCTTGACAGAGTGGTCGTGGTCATGTCTCGGTCGATTCCTGTGCCACTGATGCAATCGCGATGCGTCGCCATGGAGCTCGATGTTTTGCAGAGCGAGAACAATCATTTACGCAAGAGTGCGTCGCCGATTTAATAAGGTCTGTCTACCTTGTTGGAGAGCGCCCGAGACCTTTTGCCCTCAACTTTCCCTTGCACCACCAACCGTTCCATGGAGTTCTCATTGCGAGTAATATGCACGAAGAATTTGAAGATTCGTATCTGCACAGTCGACAATAATCTCTCTTTGATGTTGAGTTCCCTTAGGATTGAAACGTTGGTACGGTGCGCACAGAGGCGGCGTAAGCCCACGCTCGCGGTACAAGAGGCCTCGCGCCCCAAAAATTTTCAAGCATTGCTTAAAAGCGAATTCCTTTTTTATATTATTTTATAAAATCCGTCTTCAGGTCGCCACAGAACAGGGCCTCGCGAAATCTGTCTTGCCCACATCAAATTTAGGTCTTGCCCCGCCACTGGGTGCGCGGTCCACGGAATGCGTAGCAAACGTCTCCAACACCACATTTCCAGAGCGTCAATCTTGCGACGGTCTTTCGTTTTGAGTGTCCACGTCTCAGCTCCATATAGAAAGATTGGAAAAACCAAGGATCTCATTAGCCGAACCTTTGTTTTTTTGGTTATCCTACGGTCTCTCCAAATCTTTGTGTTTTTCCACTGTGGATCTAGTCATGGCGCAACGTCTTCGAATAGAGCAGAGTAAGTAGGTACCTGTTAGTAGAAAAGTTACCTAAGCTGTATCTTGTAGTACCTAAGTTGAATTTCATGAACTGTAAGTAAATAGTTGAAAATCACAACACTTGTAGATATTTTCATTGCCGCTATGCGTAACAGCAATAATGATAACTTTATTATTAAATAAATAGTCTAAAGGTTCCCCCTATCAGTTCTCAAAATGTATGGGTAATTAGTTGTTATTTAGTATTTCGTTAAATAATTTTATTACCTTTTTAAACAAATGAAAAATCTAAAGAACGTATTACAATAGTTAAATGATGATTGATTAATTGACGATCTCCGTGGCCGAGTGGTTTGTACGCCGAGTTTCAAGGTGTCGCGTCGCCTACTCGAGAGGTCTCGGTTCGAATCCAGGTGGGGGCAGATATTTGTGTGTGATGAATACCATTTGTACTCCAATCATGGAAGTTTAAATGTATTAATATATAAATATACTTATTTATATGTACAGTATGTATATGTATAGTATATGTATTCTATCCTTTACCCTAAAGTATCCCATAACACAAGCCTTACAGTGCTTACTTTGGGGCTAGGCTAATTGGTGTGAGCGTTGGAGATATTTATTATTATTAGACGACGACGAAGCCTGTAAAGGCTACGAAACGTCAATAAATAAATAAAGTTTCGTGCATTAACCCGTAAAAACTAGTTTTATATAAAAAAATATTTTAAAATTAATATGAATAACTACAGAATTTATTAAAAACTGCAGTTTTTAGTTATTAACTGCGACATTTACACGTAGCTGTTTTTACCCGCTCACGTAATGATGTCGTCACAAGATTCTGACGTGAAACGTCACTGCAGAATTATGTCAATGTCGGCGAGTAACGCACACACGCCTACAGATAGTATTAGTACACAAGATACTACTGTGCACTGTATGATAATCACGAGACGAGAGCCGTAACACAAGTAGAGTTTGCGCAGTGCCATAATAACATAGTTTTTAGGTGCGAAGATCATTTTCTTATGTATTGTATCTTTACAATTAATGAAATATGCATTTATACTCAACGTTATTGGTAATCTTAAGATAATGCAGATAAAGCAGTGTGAGTTCTATAAAATATCGAGCTTATTGTGAAGTTATTAGTGTTTCATTGACAGAATAGCAAAAGGTGAGGTTATAATTTACTCTTTAAACTAATTTTTATTTAGTCAAATGATATTCTTCCGAATTATTAAGCACTGATTTGAATTCAGTTATACCTCATGTCACTACTTAAGTACAAATATGCATTTATTTATTATAATAATATATGTTTATCGAACATACTTTAGCTTAATTATTTATGGTATGTAGTAAGTAAATAAATTACGCATTGGCGACGTACTAAGAAATACGTGAACAAAGAATATTATACTGAAATTAATTTATTCATCAAAACTCCTTATATATTAAGCCGGTATTTATGAGACCTTCAGGTTAAATTATAAACCATAATTTTGAAGCGTTTTAATAATGTTTTATATCACGAAATAAAAAAATAGACCTATTTCGAGACCAACAAAATATTCCCGCCAAAAGATGTTATGTCGCAGTCAAAATTGAAATCAGTTTTTAATCGATGAAGTTTTCGAATTATGTATTACAGTTTTATATAAAACCATACATAAACAATTAACATCCTATGGCACAAGGACTTCTAAAAATTCCTAGTCTAATTTATCAAAGTGCATTTGAGCTCTTTTATTGAAACACCGACACAGAATCACGTATTCGTATGATAAGTATTTCCTTTAAAGATAAACATAATATAGTAGGTACTTATTTAAGTAGATATCTTTTTATTGATGATAAATACTTAAAGTATAGGTTTAAATCACATATGTTTTGCAGAATATATTTTAAGAAATATCGTGGTTCATTAAATGCACAGACATATATCGAAATATAACGCAAGTGTATGTACTTATGTCAAAAGCACAGATTACTTAATTACGTTACCCAAAAGGAAAAACCAGCTAGACCAGGAGACCAGGAGGCCATTCGCCTAACGAGATTGCTTTGTAAAACGCTATCGCTTTCTGACCGCCGAAGGTTTTCAAATACCTCACGCTCATTTTCTTTAATATTGTTATTACCAATGTAAAAGAAAAAAAGAGCGCGAGGTATTTGAAAACCTCAAGTGGCTAGAAATAACAAAATGAAATCGTAAACGATAGCGTTTGAGGGCGAATGCCCTAAAACTTGTAAAAAGTGAAAAATATTCGGAACAGAATGAAACCCATACTGAAAAGAAGAGAACACATTAACAGAAAAGTGGAAAGTAAATAACGGGCGATTGGAGGTCGGGGAGGGTGACCTTTTAAGGGGGAAAACGGTTTATCGTGATTTTAAGGAAAATTATAACTCCTATCGAAATATCTACAACTTTGGTATTTACACTTTTTTCGCATAACCTAAAATATATAAGTCGTTTGACTTGCAATATCGAGGACTTAGCTTAGTTGGGATTCAAGATAGTGAGGTACACGTGGCGAGTAGGGGTTTTCTATGCTGGGCGCTCGTACTGGACATTTGTAGAATAAAGTTTAATACGGAGAGTGAAAAATTAAGGTGTATCTAGTGTTGAATCGTTTTTTTTGTTACACACAAAAAAAATCACTAACTCCTCTCTTTTGTAATAATACATTCTTGTGGCCATGGAGGTTAGAGATAAGAAGAAAGATCGCTATAGAAAATAGTGTCCCAGAAATATGGACAAAATAAGTGAGGCGCTGCGATCGCCAAGTTGTCTTAATAAAAGCGGGCTAATTTGAAATGACCAATGCCGCGAAGAAAATTTGTACATTATTCAACTCACTTCGGTAGCTTTCCAATTACAGCATTATAGCGCATTATGCGGCATAATGCTTAACGTTGAGTGTTTCAACTACAGCAACGCTTCGCACAATCGAGCACTCTCAAAAGTAATGCTTTCGTGTGATGCGTGGAATCGTACCAACTCAGAGACAGAAATTTAACAAGTGTTTTTTTTTAAGTTGGCATTGATCGAAATATTTTATTTATATGTTATCGTTAGTAATATTATTTATTGTTGAAAAATTATCAAAACTTTCGTTTCATTATAGTTTTTTTTAAATAATCAAAGTTAATTCAAACTGTGTTAAAAAATTAAATATAAATATGGATGAAGGTACAAACATTGACTTTTTTTTTAACACTGAACTTAGCGCACTCTGCTGGTGCATTTGAAAACTAATTCACGTTCCAATTAAGCATCAGCATAATTCGGCATTGTGCGCCACGATACTACTTACCGACGGCAACGCGGCTGGTGGCTGAAAAGTGAACTATAAATTATACAAATTTTCTAATGCTTTAGTGATCGTTCTCCTTCTCTTTAACCACTGTTGTGACGTTAAATGATTAATTTATTTTGAGATGTAGATTGGTTTCACAGATTCGAGGCCAACATGGAGTTTGTGATTGGCGGCCTAGCCGGCGCTGGCGCCACTATCTTCACGAACCCCATGGATGTGGTCAAGACGCGCATGCAACTGCAAGGAGAGTTGCGCGCTCGTCATGAACACACGGCCCGATACCGCGGCATCCTTCACGCGACATATGTCATAGCAAAGACTGACGGCGCCATGGCGCTACAGAAAGGCTTAGCTCCTGCCATGCTGCTAGGCTTCACAATGAACTCAGTTAGGTGCGTTGCAGGTAGATAAATAATTAAATCCTCATCATTTATAAAGGTACAATAAATCGTTTATTATAATATTGCCGATGGCGCGCCATTAGCACACGGCTCGGTAACGGGGCATACTTCACGCCCCACGTCATAACATAGCCAAGATCGACGCCGCCATGGTGCTACAGAAAAGATTGGCTCCCGCTTGATCATTTTAGTTCGAATTGTATTTTTATTTTTTATTTTTATTTATTCTTTATTCCAATTTAACATTAATCTTAGTTTACAAAACACATCTATCGCCAAATTGTTTTCACAATTTGTAGGTGTTGCGCTATTTCCATTTTATAAATGCCAATTTAATGCCTTAAACTATATTAACTAAACATCAATAAGTTACATGCTTAATAAAATAAAAATTATTCTATCTATGGAATATTTTATGACCGTCTGCTCAATAATCACATAAAACCACTTATTTAAATTGACAGTTCATATTCAAATGATTAATGGTCCCATAAATATGCAGAACTAATTATGCTTAATTAATAATGTATGCTACCTCATGGAACATTACATATGATTGAAGCAAGCGTTAAACTATTCCGCGTTTTTTTTATTTGTTTTAAAAGATGCCTCCTTATCTTATGCAACAGATTAGGAATGTACCACATAGCAGAAGTCCAAGGTTGGACCAAGAACAAAAATGGAAATGTGGACATAAAAAGAGCGATCCTATGGTCAAGTTTAAGTGGAATCATGAGCGGTGTTTTTGGCAACCCAGCTTCTGTAATCAAGACAAGGATCCAGGCTGCAGCACACCCAAGTATAGCAGTAGGACGTCAGCACAAGTATAAAGGTATCTCCTTTTGCTATGAAAGATATTAGACAAAAGACAAGGGACAAAAGCCGCTCGTCTCGGGCAGGCCATTACTAGTTCTGAATTTTTCACCTAGAAACAGTCTCCTTTTTAAGTAATTCAACTTATCAAAGACAGCCTTATTTTAACTACCAATAAACGAGTTAGAAATGCGTATAGCTCAACCCAATCCAGCAATAGGGATGATGACTATTTTTTTTCTTCGTTTATCAGGTAGATTATCAAAAGGTATTGGACACGTATTTTTTCTTTTTTCATATAATATAAACATTGCAGAGATATATTGATTTGAAAAGTCGCATGACGTCACGTTTGAGTACACTTTTAAGTGAAAATTCACTGAAAAGTGACGTCACGAGCAACTCCCAAACTTTGACGCGCTATAATTTCGTCATTTTTGGTTGATTGCCCAAAGAAAAAATACGTGTCCATTATTTTTTGATCATCTAACTGACGGGCTAAATAGAATTTCGTTTACTGTACCCCGTCATCACCCCTATTAAAACTCTATCTATAGTTAAGAACCTTGCAGAGCATATAGTATACATATTTTCAGGTATGTTGGACGGTTGTGTCCAAATCTACAAGGCGGAAGGCGTAGCTGGCTTCTTCGCCGGAGTAAATGCCACATGCACCAGGCTTGCAATAGGCAGCGCAGCGCAGTTGACGAGCTTCTCCGCGTATGTCACACTCACAACTAAATTGTTATTATATGATATTTCATTGAGCTGTAAAAATGTTATTTTCTTGGTTTCTTCTTCAGTGCAAAAGAGGCTTTGAAGAAACGAGGAATATGCGAGCACTCACCGTTTGGGCTTGCATTCGCTGCGAGCTCAGTCAGTGGTGTGGTTGTAGCCTTAGCTATTTGCCCCTTCGACGTCACCGCAGTCCGACTCTATAACCAGGGTAATTGACTCTCGATTTCTTTGACATCTTGCAGAATGAAAGAGAACTTGAAGTTGCACGGTTACTTCGAACGCTCGCCAACGATGCTCGCTTTTGTGGCGAGTCTGGGCTGCGGGGTGTTGTGTGTTCTTCTCGAAACCCCACTGGATGTTGTGAATACCCGACTTTTTAACCAGGGTAATGTAGAATCGGGATCATGCGAAACCTTGTTTCTCTTAAGATCTACCTTCTTTCTGTCGTATCTACGTATTTTCTTTATAGGAAAATGTTTACTATCTGTACCTCTACCTACCCTAATATGTTACGTAACTTTCCTCAAAGACTACTAACTAATGATGATTGATTGATTGATAGGCCAGATATATTTTTCGAAGTGCTCATAATAATCATGATTTCAGGGCCGGCTTCCAGCAAAGGACCAACTTACACAGGGGTGCTGGACTGCCTCATCAAGACGTATAGAACGGAGGGGCTACATGGACTGTACAAGGGCATCGGTCCGTTGTACTTGAGGATAGCACCGCACACCACACTATCACTAGTTATATGGGACATGCTCAACAACTTATTGTTACACAATAAACATAGCTGATTTTACAATGCTTTTTATTTTTATTATTCTATGACGTATACGTTGAATATGCAATACATAATAACATTTTGGAGCTATTTTGGCAAACATTTTAGATTAGCACAATTTATTGGACAGAAAATGACTATTTAGTGTAGCAATACAACGGCACACATGGTTGATAAACGATAAATCACCAACTAATAAATTATGAGTGCGATGCTATTGGTGGTGAAAAGTGTATCTCCCAATCAATATCCATCGAGCTGCAGTCGGAGCTGATGTCGTCGTAGTCGCAGTAACAACTCTCACACGAGTCTTTCTGCTCGATCTCTTCACATGTGCACTCTCGACTGTTAGGATCATACGACAGTGAACCAATCGCCTCCTTGTAAGCCTTCAGACAAGTCTTCTCACAAACGTCTGGATGATAGGGATCCTCAAAGTTCCCAATCATCTCCTTAATCAAACGTCTCTTCTTCAACTCCAACTTGGCCAGTTTATCGTTGTTATTCGCTTTCGCAATTTTGTACACTAACGGAGTATACTGCTCGTTATTCCCCTGGTTGTTTTCCGGTGTGGTCTGCATTTCAACACGATATTCACCGTTTACTTTACACACTATGAGTGTGGGTTTGTTTTCCGTACGTCTTCTGAACTTTTTCATAGGCTTGCTGCTTTCTTCGGCGCATCTTTGCCGTTTTGCTTTTTTGAGTTTACGCAAAAGACGTTTGGATATCGCTCCAGGTTTCCAACCATTGGCCACCTGATAAATAAAATTAATTAAGTAAAGACCGTCATTAAATTTAAGATTACATTATTGGATGTTTATAACAAATAAAATAAATAGAAAAAAAACATACACACTGGTGGATACCGTAGGACATACTCTTGGAAATTCCTGCTCGCTATCTTGAATTGACTGTAAATTGCCGAATCGATTTACGCTACATAAAAATGACCCAGTGAATAATATTACCCTACTGTGGTGTTAAGCTTACGTAAAAAAAGGTACCAAATTTTTTAGAAATTATCTGATAAAAATATGTGCGTAGGTTACCAACCACCTCCCATGATATTGCAATGAATCCTATTTAACTACAACGAGAAACTTTGTATCGTAGCTTCCCTTAATTTCCTTACTCGTATTTCCATTTTGCTCTGCCTTTTTAGGAAATTACGATAAACCATTTCATTTGAACAGAGTGTTTTATAATAAGTTATCATTTTTGTTTATTATTTATAAAATATTTATTTTGCGTAAACTCGGAATGTATCAAAGTGGACGAACGGCTCTAAAATTATTGGGAAGAGATTGTAGAGATTTTGCTGTCTATAAAGGTAGAAAGTTTTTCTTTAAAAATACTAGAAACAAACGCGTTGGGCCGATTACTAATATTTTATATTATAGGTATTCTTAAAATTGCATTATATTGTGGGCCAGGGCTTTTACCACTTTTAGCACCTAATGACACTACAACAAAGACAACAAAACACATTCGATAATTTAAATAATCAAATAAAATAGAAATAAATCATTTAAAGTCCCTTTTATTTTAAAAGGCTTAACCACAAACAATATGCATAACGTTACAAATTTAAACATAAGAAACCGCCAATAATATCACTTGCACTTATGACACTATTTTCAATAAATATCTATACAGAACACCACAACAATTCCTTTACTAAAATTATTTATATTTGATTGGACACAGATCATATTCTGAGCTACATTGTTTTCAAGCTTCCGTAGCAACACTTTTACTTTGCCCAGAGAGTGCAATAATTCGTTCTTGTTGCTCTTGTTTCATTATCTCACTATTTATAAACGAATGAAAACAAGGCACATGAAAAGAACTCAAGCTAATTCCCTAGTCATTCAGTATAGCAATTCTTTCGTTAGGTCTTTTATTTTTATGATCTTTCAATTTGAAATAGGTTTTGTTTCCATATGCATTTACCGCTATCACACCTTTAGTCGAAGGCATAGGATGTCTACATTGCGTTCTTTCTTCGGAGTAGTTTCTTTGATCAAACCTCGGCGAACGAGTATTCTTGCTTTTCTTGGAACCGGGTAGTCTAGGAACTACAGAAGGCTTAGGTATAGTTACGTCTTCTCCTCGAGCCAACATTTGCTTAAGCGTAGCTGCTAACAGTTTTCTATCTATGCCATGCCCGATTATCCCCATTCTAGATAACTGCTTCGGACTAGCATCCCCAAAACAGCTCCAAGTTGTTTCTGATGGTTCAACTTCTGGTTTAATATCACCTTTTTTAATAACCTTTTTAGATGCAGTTCGTATCCGTTTCTGAGTTGGGGAGGCGCGAGGTCTGGAATAATACCGCCATTTGCCATGACCATCAATATAACCATCGACACCAACGACTAACCACTTTCCATTTGCTGCTTGAAATTTACCTTCTTCAGTATCAATCTGCTCTCCGTTCGGTCCTATAAAAGCCATGGGTGCCCATCGATTATCGGGAGCTATATACCCATCAACGTTGATTTCTAGCCACTCGTGTTCTGGGCTCCAAAATCCACCCAAATCGCTGCATTGCTGTTTACCATCAGGACCTTTGAAGAATCTTGGTACCGGATTTCCGTATCTATCAACTAGTTTAACCCTATAATCTAAGTACGTATATTGAGTTTCTTTTTCTACTTTAAGGACTTTTTTGCCTTTGTATGTGGGGTCAAAGTAGGCATTAGGTGGCGTGAATTCGACAATCCATTCATCAGAATCTGTATCAGTGCCTAATGATACTGAATCTTCTGAACATGAACAGGATCGGTCCATATTTGTTCTATCTGGACCTGGTTCAGCAGGATAACAGGTACATTCAGGATCTTCAGTATCTGGCAAAATGCCCAGTGCCTGTTGATATGTTTTGAGACATATTTCTTTACATATATCTTTAAAGGCGCTCTGAATGAAATCCCGTTGAGCTCTTTCAAGACGTCTCTGAACGCGTTCTTTTTTCTTTCGCCTCTCACGATTTTCCTCTTCACTTCTTCCTATTGTGTAAGTTACTAGTGGCTTTTCCTCATATGGCTGTTGATTGATGGCTCTCTGTTTGGAATATGCTTTCATTGTCTCCATTGTAACAGTGAACTCACCGTCTTTTTTGTGAACTATTAAAAGTGGTCTCTTTAGTGGTTTTTTCTTTAGTTCTCGTTTTCGTTTCTTAGCTATAGCTTCATCGGGATTCTTTGCAAATTTAAGCAATCGCACTACGTATTTATTGACAGCACCTGGCTTCCACATCGGGCGGAACTAAAAAAAATAAAAATAAAGATAATGAAAATTGTTACCTAAACAGATGTTCTACTGCCGACTATCATTGTCATTCATGATGTGATATGTTATCGCTAATGGGAGAAGCAAGTAGAGCTAGAAACTAGATACGAGTTAGTGAAAATGGAGGACAGTGATTATTTCTGATAGTTTCGTCACTCGGCTATAAGCGAGTGTTCTTGAGCGATGAGGGATTACTCGCACCTCTGGTTCGCGGGGTAGCTATTGCTGAGCAAACCTCTTTTTGGTCTCTCGGTGTGCGTTCTAACAACCAAGCAAGCATCACTGTCTAAATATAATTTATTATATTTGAGTTTTTGCGGCTGCAACAAATTAGTGGTAAGAGAGAGCTAATATTTTAGTATAATGTATCTCTCAGAACGAGATGAGATTTTTATCTCTTGTCAGTTTAGAGAAAATAGTCGATAGCTTATCGACTTGTCGCAGGTGATGGTGAGACAAATTCCTTAAATTAAAATGCTTACCCTCATTCCTGGAATATCTTCAGCAGTCCATAACCAACCCATGTTTTTTGGTACAGCACCAAGTGTTCCTGTACATGGCATTGCGCATTGACTGTGTCCAATCTGAGGCGCTACAAGCCAAAATGTATCATACGTGTTTATTTTAATTGCAGTAATTATTGAAACAGCAATATTAAAAAAAAAGTTAAATACGTACGTATACCTGTATATCCATAATTAAACTTGAATCTGTCGTCCTTCTTTTTCTTTTTCCCCTTTTTATTATCTTTTTCGGATTCATCGTTTTTGTCGCCAGATGGATTTGTATGTTTGGAACCCTTATTCTTTTTACTGTCACTTCCAGAACTTACAGTCTTTAGTTTGTTTTTATCGACTAATTTATGATAAATTGGACAAGGAAATGCTAGTGGCCCTAACTTTTCTTCGCCAAATTTTTCAACGCCTCCGCAGATGTTGCAAAATGTTGTCTTTTTTGTAAATCCAAAAGTGCATTCACAAGAACAATAACAGGGTCTTGTCCCCATTTTCATTTTTGCAGTCATTCCCCCAACAACTTGTTCTACTTTTTCGCTTATTATACAGCTATCTCTTTTCATACTTGTCAAATCTACCATCAATCTTTCGTCAGGTGGACTAGGAGGCTCTCTATTCTTAGCAGCATCACAATCAATTCTGTCGCAATGTTTTACGCTTATTAAATGAGCAGCGTCTTTTGGCAAATCTAGCGAACAATGACTTGGACAACCATAAATGCCTACTTTTTTACTGGGACATTCCTCATTACATAAATTGAAATGGTATTTCTCATTAACATCAGTTGAACTTCTATCTGAACTCTTATCATCTTTAATTGATACCTTGGGACTGGCAAGCTTCTTAATAGACTCATTTTGAACAGTGAAAAAACCTACACAGTAAACTCTATTCCCAAAAGGACCACTATTATTTCCAAAAATGTAATTTAAGGTGCTTAAATGTTTCGTATAGCCCAAAGAACAACACGATTGGGAAGTTACTAAAGATGGTTTGGTCAGTTTTGTTTTTATCTCAATATCGGTATGACTCTTGACAAGGGAAATTAGTTTATTCCTATCTTTATTGTTTTTCTCAAATTCAATGTATTTAGCTTGACTTATTTTGCTTTTGTCATCTGTCTGTTTATTGGATGTTTCCATTAGACATTGTGAACTGTTTGAATGTTTTGGTTTTGTTTTTCCTCCAGCATATATAGTTTTAATTATTCCTGTTTCGTGTGTTAAATCTATTTCTTTTATCGTACTCAAAGTTGTATTCTGTATAAAGTTACTGGTATATGGATATTGAAACTGAGTACATAACTTGTCCTTTAGACAACTAAGTTTTATACTTAGCTTAATAGTAGCCACACGCTTCGACGTATATTCATGAAATACGCTGTATTTGTTTTCTACTATGACTGGATTTATACTACTCTTTGTCTCTATTTCATTCAAATAATCTATGAATGCGTGACTCCAAGGTATTTGATTGGACGCCAAAATAACATCAGAATTATATTTACTTCGAAAAGATAGTTCCAATGGGTACTGCTTCATTCTTTCTTTGAGAATTTTACCATCATATGCAATCAATACTGACCGTTTTATTAAAACTTTTGGCATCGTAGAAGTTTTTGCAGTTTTGATGTCTCTGACTCTTGACTTCTTTGCAAGCTTTTTCTTCGACTGTTTAGCCAAGGATGTTTCCAAATCGTTTACATTTCTTAGATATATTTGAAAAACATCTGCAAACTGCCCAAGTATACTATGTTCTTTACAACTGAAAAGACTTTTTAATTCCTCTATTGTTATTTCGAACAAAAACATGGAATCCGAAAGAGCCATTTTTAAACTACAAATTAAAACATTAATAACCAAATAATTTAAAATAAACCATATCCAAAAATAAAATATAAAAACTTGTAATTTGATAGATATCACCAACCTAAACAATGAAGAATGAGGTATGTTTTCATTTTTAAACGGCTGTTGTCAGCTGTTGTCAATACATAATTTCAATATGGTTAAAACAAAACCGGTTAGCAAAGAGTTTTAATAAGTTATATGTTTTCCCATAGATATAATATAAAAAAAAATTGATGCGTGTAACTTATGTACGCGCGTGAGAAGTTATACTTCTTTAGCATCATTAAAAATATTTTTTGATTGTATGCAAATAATTAATAATTACAATAAAATAATAAAAGGACTGGAAAAGGATAGTTAACACAGTCAATTAAGTTCAGTTTTAATTTGAAAAATTAAATAAATATTCAATTAAAATCACTACTGAATTTAAGTGATTAGTCCATATGTAATTAGCACTTGTAAGTAACTAAAACACGTTGTGTCTATATAGAAACTAGAAACATGAGGATAAATATTATAAATATGAAAACAGTGATCAGAGGCGACGAGCGTGCCAACATTGTTTTTGACAACGCGATCATCTTATGGAGCTCCGTGGATCGTTCAAAGTACCTTTCGAACAGATGTCTAATAATGGTGGATTATTAACCACTAAGTGGTTAATAATCCACCATTATTAGACACTAACATTCATAACGCGCCCGCGGCAACTTCATGATGTTACTATTGTGTTACAGTGATGCGCGCGCATCTCGAAATTTCACTCACATGATTTTTTCATAACGCGCCCGCGCCAACTTCATGCTGTTACTTTTGGGTTACAGTGATGCGCGCGCATCTAAAAATTTCACTCTCATCATTATTTCATAACGCGCCTAAAGAAGTATAACTTCAAAAAAAAACTGGCTAACTGCGAGTCGCCCTCGCGCATGAAGGGTTCCGTTCCGTATCTATACAACCTTAGACAATTTTATAATATCAAGCAAAAAACGGCTAAAGTATCACGTCTGTTGTATGGTAAATATTTTTTTTATTTATTTTTAAAGTGAATATACAAATATATATTCTGTGAATAATTTAAGCGTCTACCTGTTGCCGTTATTAATATCAGGCAAAAAACGCCAAAAAAGTAACCTTTATTTTATGGGAGTCTCACTTTCAATTTTATTTTATTCTGTTTATAGAATTTGTTGTTAAAGCGGCAACAGAAATACATCACCTGGAAATTTTCAACTATGTAGGTTTGTGAGATGCAGTCTGGTGACAGCAGACAGAGAGACGGACAGTCAGTGGAGTCTTAGTAATGGGCTTTGGGTACGGAAACATTATAACAATGATGTAACCGTTATTTTACCGAATTTAAATTGTAAGTTTTTCCCACTTGTGTAATACAGATAGTGGCAGAGCTGCATTTAGAGGTGTGTGATCCCTGGGCCCACGAAGGAGTAGAGACCTCTAAATCTGGACTAAGCCAATTAAGATTTGCACCTCCTGGATTTTGATGGACAAAAACATGACACAATCGCAGGCGGCGACTAGCCAGCCTGTCTGCATGTTACCTCTTCACGCTTAAACCGCTGAAATTTGGTAAAGATATAGTTTTGAGTTCCGAAAAAGGACATACGATAGGTTTTCCCAGAGATATCCCAGAAATCATACTTTAAGGGTGTGAAAAGGGGGGAGCATGTATGTATGGGAAATCAATTTCACCACGAAAAAACGATTTCACGGGAATATATTACGAGGCGTTGCCGTCGTATTTATGTTTGTTATCCATCCCACGTATGCCTTTGCCTAAACGATTGTTTTAAGTATTCCAAAAAAATGATAGACCAGAAATTAAATCAAAACTTTGATTATTTATTTATTAAAAATATACATACGTAATTATTCACTTAAGGAAATAGCGTTAGTTAAGCTACCAATAAAAAGATGAATAGAAAATTTTCACCATGTGATGCTAAAATTTTATTTCTATGACACTACGGCAGAACTGTTTGTATTAAGGGAAGATGATGCAGCGCCCTTTATCGCACACCTGTTATAATTGCCATCTATTGTGAATGGAGAAATTTTCTTACTTGGCGTATTAGAGGCTCTGTTAGTTTTCAAAGGTTTCAATTCACAGAAGTCGTCGTACATCTGCAATTCTTTCATAATCTCACGATACTTAGTCATTTTCTTCGAATTCATTGGTCTCATTTTATCCCGTGATCGGAATTTAGGTAACATGTTTGGTTCGTAATTCATTGATATCGACATTACCACCTGATCCTTTCCTTTAAAAGTAGTTTTGGGTGGGCTCCTCGTACCGCCGCTACTTAAAGCCTGTTGTGATTTCTTATCACCCTTTCTTTTAGGCGATAGCACTCCTTTGAGCTTCGCATCAGTTTTCTGTTGATTTGAAGTGATTTCTTTCCCAGTTTTGGGAGATTTCTTTCCTGCCGTAGAACCTGACACAGAAGATTTTGCACTTCTGGATATTTTCCTTCTCGAATACCATGCCCACTTACCGTCTTTATCTATATAACCATCTATTCCGATTTTCAAGACTTGCCCAGTAGCATCAGTAATGAAACCATCCTCTGCCGAATAAAACATCCCGTCAGGGCCTATAAAATTCTGTGGTACCCAACGGTTATCAGGTCCAATGTAACCGTCTTTATGTATTTCTAACCATTCATGACCAGGTCCCCAAAATCCACCCAAATCGCTACATTCCTGCTTCCCATCAGGACCTTTGAAAAATCGGGGAACTTGATTACCAGATTTATCAAGCAATTTGACCTTATAGTCTAAATAGGTATACTGTGTCTCATTATCAACAACGACTGGTGGATGTTTAGCCTTGGTGTCCCATCTAGCTGCTGGGGGAGTAAATTCTATAGTCCACTCATCATCGTCTGTATCACTACTTGAATATGAACCTTCATCAGAACAAGAACAAGAATCGATAATAGGTGAACTAAGAGCTGGATTTGGCTCAGTATGACAAGGGCAATTGGGATCATTTGGGTTAGGTAAAGGAATTAAACCTATCGCTTGGTTATAGGCTTTGAGGCATATTTCTTGACACCTATCGCGAAATGTAGATTGTAACATTCTGCTCTTTCTTCTTGTCTCTCTGCGTTCTCTTCTCTCTTTAGCTTTTCGTCTTTTTAGATTTTCCTCTGCAGATCTACCTATGGTGTATATCAACGGAGGTTTTTCATCGTAAGGATACTGGTACACTAATCTTTCTCTGGAATATTTTTTGAACACTTCCATTTGCACTGTGTACTCTCCACCTTGCTTCTTTACTACCAAAGTCGGCTTCATTTCAATTTTTTTCTTCCGTTGCATCATAGCTCGTTTCTTCTTTGCTATTATATCTATTCCCTCTCTCATCGCTCTGTACCGTCGGACTAAAATTTTATTTGCTGCACCCGGCTTCCACTTTGGTCTAGGCTGTAAATTCAAAATATAAATTTTCAATAAAATTTTTAAGCAATTTTGATCTGCAATAATTGAATGTACATGTAACATGAATGAGTTAATAGAACATTTTGTTGAATTATTCATGGTAAAAACTAATCCACAAAATGAAAGAACTGTATGTCAATTAATGTATTTAATTAAATCCAGATACATTTTTAGAAAGTAAATCTTATTATTATTATATTGCTTCATTATGTGGCAATCATGTACCTATTAAAATTTTTCATTTTTCTCGTAAATCTGAAAAAAACATAAAAATTTCGTTACTTTAAAACACTTCAATGGCTGTTATTGTGACGTAACCTTAAATTTCTTTATAAACCGAATTATAATTTTAGCAAAGAAACATTTGAATTCGAAAATAATAAAAACAATTATTTGATAAACAAAAATATTTACAAAAACTTACCAAAAGTACAAATTAAGTAGAAGAAGAAGTCTGCGGTTTTATTGTATGCATTCGCGTATTTGTAAATAAATATAGTGCGTAAATAGCGTACCCAAAATAAAATAAATTAAATCCAAAATATGATTCACTTGTTGTGAATAAAATTACTTGTATAAAAAAATATCACTTCCTTCAATAATTTATGATTGTCATTACTGATGTGGGTACCTTCATTCCAGGAATATCTTCGGCGGTCCAGTTCCATCCCATGTTCCGCGGCACTGCTGGATAAGGGTATTTCTTTTCTGGTCTTTTTTCTACGGGAAGAGGCGCTGGAACAATTGATATTATTATTTCACAATAATACTGCTTAGTGCTTGCATGCGTATGAAAGGTTTCTCGTAACCCAGTCTAGCATGAATTTTGAATACAAGAAATAAATTCATCTGCTCTTTCCTTTGAAAACAGTTATAAGTTTAGGCAAGAACGCTTCAGATTTGTAGACAATAGCCTGGCACTTGTCTTTTGTTACGGGACATCTGACTACTACTTCTCCAAAATAAAGTTGTTCTGTTGATCGCTCTGGTGTTTTTTTGTTTATTAATAGTTTATGTTTTAGTTATTTTTACAAATAAGAAATCGCGGGAGAATGTGTTTTTTTGTTATTGCAAACGGTTTATGAGATATAAAGATATGTGTTTGAAATTATTGTGACCAGAGCGATCAATAAATGACGCCAGAGCAATCAAATAAAACATAAATTATAGAAAAACAATTAATTTAAGTATTAATTATAAACGTTTTTGACTTGTTTGATCTATGAAACATGATATAAGGACGCATTTTTACTCATACATACAGACAAACAGAAAAAATCTAAAAACTATATTATTGGCTTCGGTATCGATTGTAGATCACACTCCAAGTATTCTTTTATAAAATATTCAATGGACAGTTTTGACTTTCGTACCATTTTATTATATGTAGCCTATAATATGTTGACCCGACTTCTTAATAATATTCATGGCAAATTTGAAGTAAATCCATGCAGTACTTTTTGAGTTTATCCCGGACATACATACAGACAGAGAGACAAACAGACAAAAATATTTGATACTATATTTTTGGCTTCGGTACCGATTGTAGATCACACCCCAAGTATTCTTTTAAAAAAATATCAATGGACAGTTTTGACTTTCCTACCATTTTATTATGCATAGATGTTGTCAATCAACCTATCTAGTCAATTTGCGACCTAGTCATTGTAAGATGTGCTCAAGTCATTATTTCATGTGGTCAAATAAAGATCTAGTCATTTTGCGATCTGAGGCTTTACGCGACGTAGTCAATTAAAGATCTAGACGAAATGTTAAGTAATCCTTTTGCGGTATAGTCATTAATAGGAGTTAGTCACACTGCGACCTAAACAATTGGAGATCAACCCAATGTAAAAGAACATTGCCCTTTACGTTGCTGCTGTAGATTTTTAGCAGTAGCTAAATCTTAATGAGATATTAGAGCTAACGGACATGTAATAAACATCAACAAAAGTTCTATCACGACGTTACGGGGTGGTTCTGTAAGAGTAGGTTGTTATTACTAAATTTGCTATGTCATGGCAACCACCTAGATACTTTGTTATTTCAATTAAGAAAAAAAGCTATTTCAAAGTAGATACATACGTTCTTGAACAGCGTTGTCAGTATGTTTTCCTACTTCCTTCTTTTTTTGTTTCGATTTCGTAATTTTTGTTTCGGTTTGTTCTTTTTTCTCTGAAGCCAAATTTTTCGCAGATCTCGATGTGGTTAATCTTTTCTCGTTTTGTCCCGTCTTCGAGGCTACCGTTCTAGAGCTTTTTGTGCTTACATTATCAGCCTGCTTCTTCTCTTCTTCAGGCCAAGGGTTTGGTGTTTTAATGTATTTATTGTCATACAGTTTGTGGTACACAGGACACGGATGAGGTTTAGCGTATATAGGTTGATCTTTCATATCATTGCCTAAGCATTCATATCCTCCACAAACAGCACAGTAAGTAGTTTTATTTGAAAATTTAAAAGTACATACGCAGTCACAGTAACACGGATCATCGTCTTGTACTTTATCTTTCCTGGTTGAAATATTGTCTGCTATGAAGTCTTTTACTCTTTCGGCGATATCGCAGGATTTTACGCAACATGGATTATGAATAGCATCGAAGGGGATAACAATTTCACTGTCTGCGGGACTAGGTGGAATATTGCTTTCGGACATGCATACTTTTTGCCTACAGGTGGATTCATCTGGACCACTAGTTTCGGTTTTATTAGAAAATAAAGATGGGCAAGTTATTTTGGAACAAGCCGTTTTTTCCGAAGCTTTTACACTAGGACACTCAGTAGAGCAAAATTTAAATTTGGATCCGTGTTCTGACGGTGCAGATGAATTAGCATTAGTTGTGGGTGTAGAATTTTTATCAAAATCATGTTCTACAGTACAGTAATATATATTGTACACGTGTTTATTATCAGCAAAAGGGCAACCTTGGCCCCCACAATTACTGTCTTCACTGTCAACTTCTTCACAGTCTTTACTACAAACTGTAGTACAAGAACCCTTTTTCGTAAGTGCATCCTGCATGGTTTTCAAACAAGCACACTGTGTAGAAAGGCCCTCTAAAGTCTCACTCTGACTAAAAATTCCTTCATGACGCAAGAATTCCTGTATCTTTTCCGCTAAAGTACAAGCTTTGCTGCCACACGGTCCAATAATATCGTTAATACTGAATTCTTGATTATCCTCCTCTACAAGGTTTTCGATGTATGCCTTCATTGTTCTAGCTATTCTGCAGTCATGTCGTCCACAGGGACCTCTAATATTAGCAATATCAAAAACACACGGCCGGTTATTTTGTGGTCTCTTTCCAGCATTAACACAAATCGGGCAAGGATCAGCCTGCGCCTCTTTTTTAAATCTTTCAGCGAATTCACCAGATGGCCATTTTGTTTCTTTGCAATAACACAGTCTATCGATGTCCGTAGCTTTCACTCTTGGACTAATAGTTGGCCGGGGTGTTAACATTCTCATATTGTCATTACAAGAAACTATTATTTTTCTTACATAATCCACAATGTGATCAATATCGGGGCATGTTTCAGGTGATTTGTAAATAGATTTTGGAGGCTTATCAGCGCTACCCATACAACAATAATCTCCATCATTGAAGAAAGTAAGATTAGCACCTGGAGCATTTTTATAATCAGCGAAAGCAATTTTTCCTGGTTTAGGTTTATCTTTAATGAACTTGTTTTCTATTTTATTACAGTTCTCCTCGAAAACTTCATCTGTCGTTTTTAAAGTACACATGTACGATGTTGTTTTTGAATTTATCCCTGTGTACAAGACTTTCTTTACTACGGGATCTTCCGAGAGCGTTCTAAACGCCGTAGTCACTCTATCTGTCAAATAGGTTAATTTAACTTGAAGACCTATTTTTGCCATCAATTTAGCAGTTCCTTCCTCAAATATATTATATTCATCATTGACAGTAACTGGCTGTGGTTCCTCGCAATCACAAATCTTCTCTAAGTACTCTATAAATTTATGATCCCAAGGGATACTGTTCGCGCCTATGTATACTAAATTATCTTCCTTGCTCCATAGCGACATCTCCAAAGCAAACTTTTTCATGTTTTGTATCAAAAACTCAGGAGTGCTGGTGAAAAGAACTGACTGTCCCGATTGTATCACTGGTTCGGGTGGAGGTAACTCTACTTTGCCCTTCTTTCCTTTTTTCGGTTTTTTTGGTGCCTTTTTCTTGCCTTTTTTACCAGCTGGTTCAGGTGGCAAAGGTGGGGGTTCCGGAATAACTATATACATCTGCTTGGGATCTTTTAATTCTAAAGAAAATATATCAGCAAATTCACTTCTTATTACTAAAAATCGACTTTCGACCAAGCTTTTCACATGTTCAATTACTACTTCGAAGAGAAACATAGCGTTCGTAACAGCCATTTTTATATATTTTTACTTTAACAATTATGTTGTGTATTTTTTGGTTTACATAATCAACACTTTCAATTTTGCATTCATATTGCCAACTTGCAATTTAAATCATACTTTGACGTGTGACGTATAGGAACTTTTATGACAAAAGACCATAAAAGACATATTTTACTTTTAAATTCAATGACGTTATGTCTACTGGCCACCTTTCTGCCGTACAGCACAGCATGTAAGGAAGGACTGAACCGACCTATGCCTTCTCCCACCACACACGCTCCCTCAGTACGAATTGGTGGGTAGGATACTTTTTTTTGTTGTGGAATAGGGAGATGGGCTATGCCCATGATATAGTAAGCATTGACCTTGCTATGACTCGCCACGCGGGCCCAGTGTGCATCTAAGCCAAATGCTTAGCTCTTAGAATTAGTTAACTTCATTTTATATTATATTCTTACACTAGCGATGAACACTTGGCTTTGTACCGGGAAATTAATTTCAATGCATTAAAAAGTTTATGCCACTTAGTTGTACTTAAGATCTGTGATCAGTTGCGCGGGTGCTTTTTTTTTAATTTCCACATATTTTAGGTTTTCTCCCTCTGGAAAAGTCATGAAAATTATGTTCATACAGGGACATATTTTTTTTCCACTAAGATATTTGTAGGTAACTTGAAGATATTTAAAAAGGGTTTAACACCCTTCATTGTCAGGATGTTTAGAAGATTGAACGCAAAATGTATCAAATTTAGCTTCGGCTGATAGTGCTGGGGTAGGTGGCCACCGTCCGAAGGTAGAAGTTAGGGGTTTTTTAAATAGCCGTTTATTGCCCTTATTGTTTTCCACGGCCAGCGTCAAACTTCGATATGAGATAGTAAGTAGGTAGGATCACACTGACCAGAACCGTGTAGTGCAGCTACTCCAGGTCATTAAATATTTATCACCGTATCTGATGTATTAGTCAGCCTCGATCCACAGGTTAATGGCGGTAAAAGGCAGCCTTAACCAAAGTAGAAGGGTAGAAAATATTTCCCGTAGAAAAAATCCTGGAAGACCAGAAGAAGTAGCTTAACAAGGGCTTTGCGACCATATAACATACGAGTAGCAAGGTCACAATGTTCTCGAAGTAGCGAAATATACAGTGTTAGGGTTTAAATAGTGTCCAAGCGTAACAAGCGGCTACTCATAACTGGATCCCGCAGTTACGCCTGAAGGGTGAGGGGTAGATCGGGGAGTTGGTTTACCTGGTAGGTACTGGTGCTGGTCAGCTGACTAGCCGTTCGGACTGCGGTCCGTGAGACCAGTCAGGTGACGTTGTGAACGGAGAAACCCAGGATCGGCTAAAGCGGGTGCGGACCGGGCTGCCGGTCGGAGGCGGGGTGGTTTGAGGTATACCACGCTTGCGTGAGTGCACGTCAAAGTATACCCGCATCGACTAGCGGCCCTCGGGCTGCTCGCCGCTTGCCGAATGCACCACGCAATCACCTGCGTCACAGCGGTGACACTCTCTGTACGTGAGAGTTCCAGCGTCAGTGACCTTGAGCAGGAGCGTGTATGCGCTAGGGTTGAACTTGGAATTTAGACTTGTGCCAATGAATATTTATGCATAGTGAGTTATCAAATGTAAACTGATTCAAGGATACTGGGGTAAATAATGAAGATAAGGTTTGATTTTATAATCAATTTTTAATCTTTAAATGTAGGTACTGTAACAAATTGCTAACTTTTTATATATTTTCTCCTTTTTCGATTCAATAATGACATGATTGCGTAGCGTAGTCAGTCTGTGCGTGCAATGCAGTGCAACGCTATTATTTTACTATTTCACTACTGCCATGCCTTCGGTCGAGGCAGTCGGCGACTGCCCTCTCCACGTCCCGCGCGCCGCGCAACGCCCCCGCGCACCTCCAGACACCCACACATAGCCGCGTGCGATTTTACGAGCACACATGCTTAAGTGTCGCTTCTTTTCGCGTAGTGTATAATTATATTCTGTGCCTGCGTCGCGAGGGTTTATTGACAGCAAACCAACGCGGCGTTGGTCATTTTCGTGGATATAATTCATTTTTACTCCCCGTCATCGAAAGAAAAAATACAAAGGGTTTAAATAGTGTGAAACAATTATATTAGGATCACCATTACAATGAGACACTTGTAATAAACATAGGAACTCACTTTCTTTCTCACAATAGGCTAGTTGACTCATGTCAACTTGTACTATCCAAATGTATGTAATTGTTATAATTTTTGGTATGAGATTAAACTTCATAAAATTAGATGATAAATTGGTGTTAAGTTGTGTTACAACAGTCTGCGTCACTGAAGAATTAGTGGAATCTTTCAAATTCACGCTGTTCCGGTCAAGTGGACGTGATAACTTTATTGCGGTATTGACTACCTCCAGGGCTTTAACTAGAGTCGAATTAGAGGTAGGGCAACATTGGTTACAGGTAGGGCTGAAGTAAAAAAAAATATCATAATTGATCTGCCCTCGGGAACGGGCTCCTAAATCAATCACCATGTATATCATTGACCTCTAGGTCAATGCTGTACCTACTTTCAATAGCTATTCGTAGACAAATAATTTTTGTAACAGAGCATGAGCATGGATTTAAGAACTATCAAATCCTCAATGATGAAGAACAAGCGAACAAGATGGTTGAACTTCCAGATTTGGATGTAGAGATCCACGTCTGAGTGAGAGTGAGGTAAGATTTTATTATTGGGTGGGGTGGGGTGATACGAGTAAATCGAAACGACCAAAAATACTATTTAGATCATAATGTTTTTGCTAAGTTATTATAATAATCAATATAAAAATGGGTGCGTGTAATTATGTAGGCGCGTGAGAAGTTATCCTTCTTTGGCATCGTTTAAAATTAGTTTTTAATTGCATGCAAATAATTAATTACAATAAATTAATAAAAAGTCTGGAAAAGGACACAGTCAATAAAGTTCAGTTTTAATTTGAAAAAATAAATAAATAATCAAAGTATTCAATTAAAATCGCTACTGAATATAATTTATTACAACATATGTGATTTGCACTTGTATGAAACTCAAACACGTATTCCGAATATACAAACTAGAAACATATGGATAAATATTATAAATATGAATACCTATAACTGTTACTTTATTACAAAAAATTAAAAAGGTGGTTTTTGGTTCTACTACACCAATGGTCAAGAGATGGCGCTGTAGTCTCCTGAATCGCGCTTTGGTTCCGTTGTTCCAGATTAATAAATACTTTTGATAGGCCTTCACAATGCAGTCGTTAGCACCCACTAAATAGAGATTCTATTTCTATATTGTTGGTAGATTTTCTTAATGTGCGGTAAACACAAAAGTAACGCATAAAGTTGGTCCAACCAGTTGGACCAACTTCATGCTGTTAAAATTTTGTGTTACAGTGATGCGCGCGCATCTTAAAATTTCACTCTCATCATTTTTTCATAACACGCCTAAAGAAGTATAACTTCAATAATAAAAATATTGAAAACAGCTGAATTCTACGATTCGTCGTATTATTAAAAATGCGAAAACTTCGTTCAGATCAACTAATTTCTTTTTTTTTTCAAAGGCCGGAAATACCATACCAGCCATTCTCTCGTGACCCATAGACAGTCTTTGAGACCTACTAATTGTAACTATAAATAGACTAAAAGTTGAAAACGTTCCCTCTGCATCACAGATAGACCCATCGCTTCATGTGATGGCGCTTCAAATACCATATATACACAGAAGAAAATCTCAAAATAGTTTGAGATTGGTCATAGGAACATACAGTTTAATTAAGGTATTTTTAAGGGAGGGCATTGCGCCACAATTCCCCCCCCCCCCCCCCCCCCGTTAGGCTACGGCCGTGACTACCTCACAGAAGCTTATCGAAAAAGCTAAATGTATCGAACATTTCGTGCCAAACACTCCGAGAAAAGTAAGAATGCGTCACACCTCCATTCTAATGTGAAAAAGAAGATTAATAAAACTTAAAACTAAGCTGTATGGGCATTATTCCCTTTGCTTTCCTTTTAAATGAATAATAATAAAAAAACAATGTGACAGTGACATTTATTTGACCGACAGCAGCTGATTGCTGCTCCAGAACCAGATTACGAAACAAGTCATTTTCCGCAGTAGTTTCTTAAAATTAAAGGTTCCTATTATTAGTTATAGAATTATTTCAGTTCCTAACGCCACGACACATGATGGCCGAGTCAGGGCTTTTAATAGAGCATGGAAGATGACTTTTGTACATCGACTTTGTGCGTAAACAGTAAGTATCTTTTCATCATCCTTGTTTACTTTGTGCTTACCTTAAATCTTATCAATATTAACTGCGACTAGTTCATTTGCGTCATTCAATACGTTTCTACATTCCTAAATACATAACCAAAGTACTACATTTATACAGTATTATTTTATAAACTATGCTCATATTCTAATTTTGAATTACTAATCTAACAGTAGATAGTTAGGAAACTATACAGGCAAATAATACACAGGCAATAATTATCTAATATAATGAGTTTACAACATTTCCTAACATAACCTTATATTTATTACCATTATACTCCGGTTGCCCACCTAAAAGTTTAATCCAGCCAACTAATAGCACTGATAATATGATTTGTAAATAATTATATAACAAAACCAAATGTGTGACTTTTGCATACATAATTAAGAAACATACAAAGAAAAGTGAATTTGATAGCACCATGGACTTCATTGTTGGTGGCTTGGCTGGAGTGGGAGCAGGATTCTTCAGCAATCCATTTGATGTGGTCAAGACGAGAATGCAGCTGCAAGGCGAGCTGAGAGCCAAAGGCCAACATGCAGTGCATTACAGGAACATTCCACATGCCATGTACACAATTGTCAAGCATGATGGTATGGCTGCATTGCAAAAAGGTTTGGTTCCAGCGTTGTGGTTTCAGTTAGTAGTGAATGGAGTCAGGTGAGTCTTATTACAGTTCTATTCAAACAAAATAATATAAATGTTTAATAGCTTGACCGATACCTCTATCAATTAAATTTAAAACCTTGTTGAATATAATATAATATTATAGTCTATTTATTAAGGGTATATGTTGCTTTTTAATTGATATGTCCATATGTTTTCAGGTTAGGCATATACCAACATGCAGATGATTATGGTTTCTTAAGAGATGAAAACGGGAATACGGTATTTATTAACAGTTTGTTCTTTGGGGCCGTTTCTGGAGCATGTGGAGCACTATTTGGTAGCCCTTTTCAACTTGTAAAGACACAGCTCATGTCCTATTCATCTGAAAAGATAGCAGTTGGAACGCAACATGGGCATAGAGGGTTAACTTATGCTTTAAAGAAGATTTATGATAAAAATGGAATGGTTGGATTATGGAGGGGTGCACATGGAATGATGATCAGAAACTCAATGGGATCAGCCTCGCAGATAGCTGCCTTTGCTGTGTAAGCAATTTTAATCTTTATTATCCAAAAGACTTAACTCTAAACTCTTTCTTTTTGGTTTTTATCAAAAAATATAGTAACTTTAGTATTTATTAGACTACTTTGTTAATCTGTCACTTATTATTTCTTGATATTTGATATAATATGCAGCACCCCACCAACCTATATAAAGTTTTGGTCCTTCGAGCAGGATAGAATATGTTAAAGTGTTAATATTACCCAGAAACATATAAACATATTCTTTTAATAAGAATCCCAAGTTTGGCCTATCACATTAAATGCCCCTTAAGTAATATGCCCCCTTAACCTTCAGTGTCTGCATTAAATTCCAAGTAGAAACTCGCCCTCTCTTGATAGGTACATACATTTACGATGACATTAAAATTCCAGCTGTAAGGAATGGATGGACGAGACCAAGAGTTTCCAGCAATCACGATACTTGTCTGCTTTCATTGCGAGCAATATTGGTGCAATCACTAAGACTATCACGCTGACTCCCATGGACGTCATCATGACTCGACTGTACAACCAATGTAAGTAACCTTGTATGTTGATAATAGATTTATTTGTTTACTCTCTCGTTCAAGTACATTGCCAAGTACAGTTCTAAATTAGTACGTAAACAAACAAGAAAATTGTCTGGTATTAGAAAATTGTTAAAAATATTTGAAAAGCAAACTATCAGAACTCTTTTATCAAACAGTAGAATTAGTGGGTAATGAGAGCGTAGTGACAAAATGATGAAACATATTCATCATTTTTATTCTTTGTGTTTTTATGAATAATAGGGGTAATGATGATGGGATACATGAAATGAAAATTTAGTCTGTGAGTTAGATTATCAATAAAAAATAGACTTGCAACGAATAGTTTATTCGGCAGTATACCGAATACCGAATATTCGGCGAGGCACCTGACCAAATAGCCGAATATTAGGCAAAAGTATTCAGCTGGATTTTAGCGCCAAAAACTTGTACAGATGGTGATTGTTTCGCGCTCCTTTGTTTTGTTCTAATCTGCCGTCCTCAAGCTAAAATGCGGCTAAATGACAAAACCAACTTTTGAGATATGGCCAAAAACGGCGCGTAAACTTTCAATTATTGCTATTATGTAACCATGAAATCACATGACTGAATGAATTAAAAACTGTTAAATTGTTTAATACAGAAAATTATTAAATTATGTACCTGTTTTATGTACCAATGACTACTTAATAAATGATTATAAAGGAAATGAGAACCTTACCCTTCTAATTTTGATTACCATAATAATTCAAATACATGACTACCAATGACTACTTAAATGATTATATAACAGAAATGAAAATATGAATATATACGTAATCAATCGATTTTAATTTTTCATTTTACCAATTATTTCTCTATGACAAAATATATTATTTAAGTATTCGGTATTCGGCCGAATATAATAAAAGCAGCCGAATAGGCCGAATACCGAATAGTAAGCGAATATTCGTTGCAAGTCTAATAAAAATGGAGTTTTATTATTTATTTTGTCAATCAAACCAAAAAATAAAGAAACATATAGTGCCTCAAAGCCTGGGATATTTTTTGATAATCTATCTCATCAACGAAGAAAAAATATAAAAATAAGTTAATAACTTGTTTAAAAATTACAGCTGTTGATAGCGAAGGTCGCGGTTTGCTATACTCGGGTATTGGAGACTGCGCAAAAAAGATCACCAAGACAGAAGGTCTGCTAGCCTTCTACAAGGGCATAGGGCCATGTTACTTGAGGCAAGCCCCGCACTCCGTACTCCTACTAGTCTTCTGGGATATGCTTAAAGACATACAGAAATCGTGGGAAATGGAAGACAGAATATCGAATAATATACATTGATATAGCAGGAAGCGTTATTTAATTTTTCAATTGTAGATTATATTATTATAATATTAAAGAAAACAGTTATGTGCCTTGTTGATATAAATCAAGGTTTGCAATAAATAATAAGAATATTTTTGTTCTACACATCAAAATGATGGATTATACATATACCAGTGTTATTAATAATTTTAATTCTATAAAATATAACTAATTTACCAGATGGTAGATGCTAGGTGCAATTTTACAGAGAAGAGATAGTTCCTGAATTATAACTCATAAAAGTCTGGTTTTTATAAAAAATACAAATTGTATTTTTATTTATAATAGACAAATTACTTATTTATTAATTATTGAAATTATTTGATTATTAAGGTGGCACTTTATAATCGTATTTGTGTAATTGTGATGTTAACAACATGTGGTTGCTATAAAAAATATTATCTTTATTTACCTATTTTATAAATAGGACCAATGCACGCTTTTTCCCCCAAAGGGTGACAAATAGTGTTGCCAGGTCCGATTTGTATTAAATCGGTACATGAGGTCAAAAAAATAGGGACTTAGGGCTGCAAATCGGGACAGTAAACAAAGTACAAGGGGTTTTTAGGTCTGGGTTAATTTATTGTGTTTTAAACTACTAGTGCAAGTATAGTATTATATTAATTAACTTATTTTCATTCTTTGATTAATCGGGACATTGAGTGTCCCGATAAGGAGCAAATCGGGCCGCGTCCCCAGACCCTTGAAAATCGGGACGTCCCGCGCAAATCTGGACACCTGGCAACACTAGTTACAAACCACTTAAATTATAAGCAAGTACTTGTAGACCGTATTCATAAGTACATATATAAGATCCACATGCCTTCGACTAAAAAGGATATCTTTTATTTGTTTTTGTGGTGTACCTTCTTCTTCTTTCTTGTTCTTGTTGCTACGGGCGTTTGCGCAACTCGTCGTCCTTATGGCGCCTGTTTTGCGTGATGGCCGGAGTCACTCCAGCCAGCCCAGCTCCGCCAGGAACGCCCCCAGGGCCTTCACATTGGTGACAGCCTCTTGAAGGTTTCCTGGTGAGCCGAAGTATTTCGCCCGGTATTCGGCCACTCCGTTGCATTCCAGCAGAACGTGAGTAGCTGTTTCCTCTACCTCCATGCATCCTCTGCATAGGGGGCTGTCCGTGGCACCTAAGTTGAAAAGATGTCTGTTAAAATGTGCGTGTCCAGTGATAGCACCTGTTACCATGCGCAATGTAGGTTTGCTTAGCTGTAGGAGAGTTTTGGAAAGGCAGCGTTCACCCGTGGCAAAGCGAGCTGGGTCTGCCTGCATATCTCCGTGGTGTAGCTTTATCCGCGTTTTATTATAAATAGGACAATGCAAGAGTTGTAAGTTACCAGTTTTCCAATTCATGGATTTTTCATTATTAATTGCCATGAAGAATGAATATCCACTGCCGGATCTAGGGGAGGGCAACCGGGGCGAAAGCCCCGGGGCCTCTACAAACGGGGGGCCCCCACAATAGAGACTTCGGAAAAAAAAATCGAAATCATCAACGATTTTTCGGCGAAAAAATCTCGAAAGGTTCCGTTCGTTAACTCTAAGATTTAATTTCAGATAATTCTTGTTTCCGTTTATATTTATATGTGTTTGTTCAATACTAAGAGAATCTACTTGGTTCACAATAAATTATTTATTGAAAAACTCGACTGAAAAAAATTTGTTTACTTTATTTGGAAAATAATTTGATGAGGAGGCCTCCGCTCCTCTGTTGCCCGAAGGCCTCTGGACCTCTAAATCCGGCCCTGTGAATATCGTCCATATTAGCGTGTGTTTGCTATAAGCGTGTTTGGAATTTTTATGCCGAATATATTGAACACAATTTATAACCGAAAACTCTAACATGAGATAACCAGTGCTACCATTAAACATAAGCCCCCTTACTACAAAACGTGGACTAAAGTTAGTCTTAATTTAAACCCTAATGTTGTTAAACCCTAAGTTTGTAATTAAGTCCAGGATGCGAATTGCCTAACGGGATAGCTATGACTATCGCTTACGAATATATATTGTTATATTACTTTAGTATTTTTATAACCAATGCAAAAGAAAAAAAAGAGCGCTTTTGATAACCTTCGGCGGTCAGAAATAACAAAATAATATTGTAAGTGAAAGCGATAGCCATAGCAATCCAGTACGCGTTTATCCCCAAGGTTTTACTTTAATCTACGTTTGGTAAGGCCGATGTTTAATTCAAATACTCTTGCTCAGTTTGTTTTATTTAACTAAGATGTGATTGTAACTCCTTATCATAATTCAAAGCAGATCCGGGCTACTTCCCTGATAGTCTGTTCTATGTTGATGATTTCCGCACTCAGAGATGTTAATTTAAGTTGGTCATCATGACAGAATCGGTGAGACAGCCATTACCAAAAATAAATTATTGATTGAAGACAACCTGTCGCTTTGTCCTTAATTTAATGTCATTAAAGCATTAAATTTATGTCTCTGAGAGCGCCCATTAAAAGTATATTATACGTAATAGTTAATTGTTATGTAATTTATTTGTTGTTAGTGACTTTATTTGATTATATAAAATAGTATTTGGGATATATAGTAAATTGGTACATCGGGTTATAAAAAATTTCCTATTGAACTTTCTACCATAAAGTTGAAAATCGCTGGAAAACCTTAACCTGGTGTGCTTGTGGCTGTATTTTAAAGAATACCAAATAATTTGTATGCAATCTCATTAAATTACTAAAATCGTTTGATTTTTTTTTATAATTTCAAATATTTAATTTTATTCCTAATAGTAAGTACCTGACGTTTAGACCTGCCCCCTCCTAAACTTAATATTTACAGTATTATAGTGAATAAATATTTTTAATGATCTTGACATAAGTTGTATTGTTTTGTATGTACTGTTGATTCTATATTTCATTACTTCATAGTTTTCGCATTTAAACAAAGTGCCATATATTTTAACATAAAGCTTTCTTTCAGAATTGAAAATATAGAAAGACATATTTTCGACCTTAAAGCACATTAATTAAGGAGAAAATTTATAATTCAGTACCTATACGTTTCGCTTGGACAAAGTTGATCCTATAAGAAAAGTGGTTCAGTTTGATGGTCCGATGAATTCGCTTCGGCTTTTAAGCCAAAAATAAAACCATTTAAAAACTATTTGTATACTAATTCAATAAACAATTCGAAACTAATGAAGCTAAATTTAACTGTGGCAACATGATACATGAGACTGGACAAAAATATCGAATAAAATTAATTAAATATATTTTTAATTTTACCAACGATTAGTTCGTTGGTAAAATTGGCATTGTGAAATAACAAATTGGTTTGTGTGATTTTTTAAATACTGTTTAGGTAATTTATAATTTTGGATAAATGTTTGTAGACCTCCAGAGTGTGATAGAAAATGATAGATTCAGCTGTTAAAGAATATGAATAAATTTTGTTGTTTTAAATTTTTGTTTTAGTATTTTACCTTTATCCTGATATTCCTTCGAAATTATGAAATATACAAACGTTAGATAGAATAGAGAGCTTTCTTGTCATGCCAAGTACAATGGTGTTACAAGTAATGTCTTCGTTTTAAGCAGCTGCCCGTTTCGAAAGTTGAGTAGGTACTAACTTAAATCGAGGATAAAAGATAAACACAATTAAGGAGCTGGTGAACATAGCGGTAAATTACGCATCTGGTAAAACTGCATTTTTTTAAAGTCCGGAGATTTCGGGCCCGTTGAATTGGAATCTCAAATAATTTTCAATCAAAACTGTGTTAAAATAACTTAATTTATAAATTGAAAACCATGCCAAAAGCTCACTGTAGGTATGTTTTTCAGTTTTATACAGCTCATGTACAATTTAATTTTATGTAATTATACCGTTTTGTTGGCCAGCTCCTCAATTTTCTAATCTTACTCTAGTAGGCTTTGGCTAAATCCTAATATATTTAATTCGGCCAATTAAGGATATATTTATTCTTATTAAAACAGTATGATAGAGAGTTACAGTTTCGAATGAAAAGAATTACCACAGCAGTGGGGACATTAATAGACTGATTATGATGATAACAAGTATAAACACAATAAAACCGTTAATTTAAATTAAAAAAATATAGCAGTCATTTTGAAATTAAAGGTTCTTGAAAATACTTATATCGTAAATAAAACACACCAATATTTCTCCTTAGGCCGACAACAAAATGGCGACCAAAAAAGATGGCGTAGCCCGCGATCTCACTGACATGGCTATGGGAGGCGTGTCCGCCATGTTCGCCACCCTGTTTACGAACCCTTTGGAGGTGGTAAAGACTCGGTTGCAACTACAGGGGGAGATGAAGTCTAAGGGGCAGCATCAGGTCTACTACAAGAGTGTACCGCACGGGTTGTACGTAATTGCGAGGACAGAGGGACTCGTGGCGCTGCAGAACGGGTTGCCTGCCATGTTAGGATTCCAGTTCTTCTTGAATACGTTTAGGTAGGTGATAAGTAACGTATAACCAACATATCGAAGTAGATGATCATGTGATAAATAATCTCTACCATATTTATATCATTGTTCTTTCATTAGTCGCACCTCGGTAACGACATCACGTTTACATATTTTCTTAAACATCAGTCTGTAATATGCAATCTCACTTACGAATTCATTAATTTGGATTTCTGACAAATTTCAAATATATAATTAGGCTACTTTAACAGACATAGCGACATTTTGCCGTGTAATGACGTAATGCATATCCAAATAATGTCTAAAAAGGCATCTACCGAAATTGGAAGTGAGATTTTATGAATCGCCCTGCAGGTTCGTCGTTTTTAGAACAAGCTAATATAAACTATACCCGCCGACGTAAGTCTATCGGATTATTTGGCAACTTCTGATGATACTATCTATATAGGCTATTACAGGGGGGGGGGGGGGGGGGTGATGGCGATGGAGATTCAAATGGTGTAGGGAAAAAAAATTGGACGATTCAAAACAGTTGTACTATACATCCAATTTGAATAAAGATATATTGATTTCTGATTTCAAAATTATTTTAAAACCTAACCATTTTTTTCAAATAACGCAAACGACGACGTTTTGACGCATATCCAATGTGCTGTGAGATTGGTAGACCATGCCATGGGACAGGTATGGGTATAATAATGATAGTAATTGGTAATATTACTTGGGTAGGCGGGCGGCCGCAGAACTTTTTTGCATATCGTGCCACAAACTTGACTTCCCTGGTCGTAATCCAGAACCAGTATTTCGTCTTTCAGGTTAGGGGTGTACCGTATAAGTCAGCGGTAACGGTCACACGTCTGTAATATATGTAATAAAGGGTGCGTTGGCAGCTGGTATAGGCGGCGCCCTGGGCTCAGTGGGTGGGACACCCTTCTTCCTGGTGAAGACACAGTTGCTACTCGCTTAATTTCACAACCACCATTAAGTTTACATCGTGCTATACCTAGGATAGTTATTGACCGTAACAAAAGACATGTGAAATCAAGCTTATCGTGCCTTAAAATTGATTTTCCTGGTTCTAGACCAGAACCAGTATTTCGTCTTTCAGGTTAGGAGTGTACCGTATAAGTGAGCGTCGCGGTCTCATAACTGACAGCAACGGTCGCACGTCTGTAATAAAGGGTGTGGTTGTAGCTGGGATAGCCGGCACCCAGGGCTCAATGGGTGGGACAACCTTCTTCCTGTTGAAGAGACATACCTAGAATATTGACCGTAACAAAAGACATGCGAAATCAAGCTTATGGTGCCAAAAACTTGATTTCCCTGGTTCTAGTCCAGCCCCCCTAGCATGAACAACGCGATATGATATTCAGGGTGTTTCTTTTAAGGTGTCAAGCCGGTGTTAGGTGATAGCTGAGTACCATACCTATCGATTTGACCCCCATGTATGTTCCGCGATATTTTGTAGTTTCGAGTTATAATTTTTTTTTCGTTATTTTTAAGATGTATCGACTGAACGGGTTTAAAAATTTATAACTTTTTTTTGAGTAAGCATTTCTTAGTATTTTTTTTTAATAAAATGCCGATTGGTTGTGGTTTAGTCACTAGAATAAAGCTATCACCTAGCACCGGCTTGACACCTTAAAAGAAACACCCTGTATAATTCGTTTTTATCAGGCTCAATTGTCAAATTACTACGGAGTTTGATAGTTAAGACGCGATAAAAATCGTGTTATAATGTAAATTGTGGTGCTCATGCTACGGGGACAGAACCAGTATTTCGTCTTTCAGGTTAGGAGTGTACCGTATATCCGAGCGTCGCGGTCTCATAACTGACAGCAACTGTCGCACGTCTGTAATAAAGGGTGTGGTTGCAGCTGGGATAGGCGGCGCCCTGGGCTCAGAGGGTGGAACAACCTTCTTCCTGGTGAAGAGACATACCTAGAATATTGACCGTAACAAAATACACATGAAATCAAGCTTATCGTGCCATAAACTTGATTTCCCTGTTTCTAGTCCAGCGCCCCTAGCATGAACAACGCGATATGATATACAGGGTGTTACAAAAATACAAATAAAGCTTGAAGGGCGTTGAAGTACATCATATAAGGAGTCTTCTCTTTTTTTTAAAATATTTGCATGAAGTTTTAGTTTTTTATAAAAACAGTTATTTTTAATGATTATTAAAAATAGCGATCTTTTTAAGACACGTCACTAGTTCGAGGATCATTAAAAATAACTGTTTTTATTAAAAGTTAAAACTTCATGCAAATATTTTAAGAAAACTAGAGAAAACTCCTTATATGATGTACTTCAACGCCCTTCAAATTTATTTGTATTTTTGTAACACCCTGTATAATTCGTTTTTATCACGCTCAATTGTCAAATTACTACGGAGTTTGATAGTTAAGACGCGATAAAAATCGTGTTATAATGTAAATTGTGGTGCTCATGCTACGGGGACAGAACCAGTATTTCGTCTTTCAGGTTAGGAGTGTACCGTATATGCGAGCGTCGCGGTCTCATAACTGACAGCAACGGTCGCACGTCTGTTATAAAGGGTGCGGTGGCAGCTGGGATAGGCGGCGCCCTGGCCTCAGAGGGTGGAACAACCTTCTTCCTGGTGAAGAGACATACCTAGAATATTGACCGTAACAAGATACACATGAAATCAAGCTTATCGTGCCATAAACTTGATTTCCCTGTTTCTAGTCCAGCGCCCCTAGCATGAACAACGCGATATGATATACAGGGTGTTACAAAAATACAAATAAAGCTTGAAGGGCGTTGAAGTACATCATATAAGGAGTCTTCTCTTTTTTTTTAATATTTGCATGAAGTTTTAATTTTTTATAAAAACAGTTATTTTTAATGATTATTAAAAATAGCGATCTTTTTAAGACACGTCACTAGTTCGAGGATCATTAAAAATAACTGTTTTTATTAAAAGTTAAAACTTCATGCAAATATTTTAAGAAAATTAGAGATATGATGTACTTCAACGCCCTTCAAATTTATTTGTATTTTTGTAACACCCTGTATAATTCGTTTTTATCACGCTCAATTGTCAAATTACTATGGAGTTTGATAGTTAGACGCGATAAAAATCGTGTTATAATGTAAATTGTGGTGCTCATGCTACGGGGACAGATCCAGTATTTCTTCTTTCAGGTTAGGAGTGTACCGTATATGCGAGCGTCGCGGTCTCATAACTGACAGCAACGGTCGCACGTCTGTTATAAAGGGTGCAGTGGCAGCTGGGATAGGCGGCGCCCTGGGCTCAGTGGCTGGGACGCCCTTTTTCCTGGTGAAGACACGGCTGCAGGCGCAAGCAGCGCGGTCAATAGCTGTAGGACATCAGCATAAACACTCGGGCACTGCCGCCGCTTTGCTTGATATATACAGGAATGAAGGATTCAAGGGTGAGAATAAAGAGAAAAACCTCTGTAAATGTTGGTTAAACATTAAATCATCATCAGTCAATCTATTAATGACAGCTATAGCGATACTTTGGAAACTTTGAGCGGTCGATAACTCATTAGATAAGCATTAAATCACAAGCGTTGGACATATTGTATATAGTCAGCCCAAATTTTTTTTATTTTTAATGCGCGTCTCCAATTTTTAATTCTAAGCTAGTATTAAGTTCTCTATTGAATACCTATTTTTGTTTCATAACTTCAAAATTATATGTTTATGGTACTTTCTCGGTATCCGCGGTATCGAATACACGCGACCTGTAAAAGTAATTATTTTACTATTTTGAACTTGTTATTATTTGTAATTATTTGTAATTGTTATTACTTAAGTATTTTTAAACGTCCGTTCTCCAGCTACAACTTCTAATTATGTAATTAAATGAAAACCTGTTATTAGCCTTACAAGTAGTTAATATGTTTGTATATCTGTATTATGATAATGCTATTGGTTTTCTTAAATAAAATAAAAATAAGTATGAGAGATATAATATATAAATACAGAAAAGGAAGCGCCGTGCAGCGGTGAGTATATATAGAATAGATACCAAGAAAGTACCATATATATAGAATTCTAAAAAGTTACGAGTTAATAATAGTCAGCCAATAATTGTTTTATAATACAAAACTCAAAACTAACTTATATCTAGCTTACAACTAGGTTTTGGAGCGCAGCCAGATACACCACAGACACAGGCCATCCCTATGTATGCTATAGGAAGATCGGGTTATGATCCACCACACGGGCCCAGTGTGGATTGGTGGGTGCTAACGATTGCAAATGCAGCCGGGACCAACAGCTTAACATGCCTTCGGAAGGACGAAGGACCTCGATCTAGTACCCGTCCGATGACCGACCACTGCGATAATTGCTCTATCGCTGTCGAACACGCTAACCACTTGCGCCAAGGAAGTCCTTGATAAAATCAAAATCAAAAATCATTTATTCAGACTAGGCTGTTACAAGCACTTGTGAAAGTCGAGAAGCTACGTCAGTAGATGTTTTTGTATGCAAAATTCCTCGATCGAGTCGATCAAGCAGTTAGACGGGGTGTATAGTTAGCCCACAGTGATAAAGATGTATGTTGCGGACTGGATCAGACCATCTGTCGTTGATCTTTGATCATATGCCTCGAGTATTCCTGACATGAGTAGTGTCTAGGTAAAGGATTTGCTAACATAAACTCTAAATAGGCCCTGCCAAAATATCAGTATACAAAATGTCGCGACAGCTTAATGCTGAGGCAGGGTCCTGGTTAGCCGTTACATGTTTAGTATGTGTAAATGAGGGTTAATAAAAACGTTTTCATCCCACCACCTCGGAAAGTGTAATTTTGCGCTTCGAAATCTGGCTGGAAAATTCTATTTTATTCGCTTGAGCGGCAAAGTAGATTTGAATTTAGAACATCACATATAATGAGTACTCAATATAATTGTAAATTCAAAACGTCATTAAACCTATTTAATGTAACCTCTATGGTGCCAAATTTATGATTAGAACTTTTTAAATTGTGAAAAAATTTAAATTTGGAACCTTCTTGGTTTCTTTGTTTTATTTGCGTGCTTCGCGCCATTCTAGTTTTTCACGTTTTATTGCTTAATATAATTAACATAACCTAAAAACTGTACAAAAAAATCAACTAAAATGAGTGACATTAGCGACGATGAAGTTTATCTAACGCCAACTGAGTTAACTGAAACAGTTAATAATGCGCAAATGAGCCTTCTCCCTCAGCAATCACGAGAGAAGTATTTGAAACAGTACGATATATTTAACATGTGGCGACTAGCTAAAGGAGCAAAAACTTTCTCCGAAAACGTTTTGCTGGCATATTTTATAGAATTATCTGAGACCAAGAAAGCAAGCACGCTATGGAGTACGTATTCAATGCTAAAATTAACAATTAAGATGAAGAAAGACGTTCATATCGACACCTATCATAAATTAGTGGCATTTTTAAAAAGAGCCTCATCTGGTTATAAACCAAAAAAATCGAAGGTTTTCACAGCATCTGAAATTGCAAAGTTTATTAATAATAAATATAATAAAATAAAATAAAAATCGTTTATTTTCAGACATAGTCCATAGATGTGTTAGTTAATTGACTTAAATGCTATGTTAGTAACAATAAGACAATACAATAAAATAAATTTTAACAAATATTGGCTTGGAGCCCTATACAGCGGGGCGGATTCACCACACACGTGATCGCAGCACGTGCAGCTCAGTGAACCGGCCCAGCAGCACGGAGTCCAGCCGGTCCCCTACCATCCTCAGGACGCTGTTCGTGCTCTCTCTCACTCTTCTAACTAATGAGCCAACTTTTTTGCGAATAACCGCATAGAAGTCGTCGACTCCTGCATCAGCAAACATGCCTGAGGCACTGCAGTAGCGAGGAAGCTTGAACAGAGCCCTAAATACATTATTGTAGGAGATACGCAGAGCATTATAGGCCGCGCGTGTAAAGCTGGCCCACAGGCTGCCCGTATATAATGTCTGGCAGTATGCCTTGAACAGCGTAATTTTGACTTCAGCTGAACAGCGAGCGAACCTACGTGCCAACATGTTACCACGCACCGACAACGCCCTGCGCTCCCTCTCAATATCTGCATTATCACATAAATTTTCAGTGACTATGTGGCCAATTAATGAAGCACCTGATTCCGTATATTTAGCGGCAAAAGTAAGTCAATACGTGTAATTTTTTGTTGTTGATAAAATTGTACATAGTACTTACAATATTTTTAATTTGATTAATTTATTTACGATTATAAATACTTCTTTTGTTACAGGTTGTTCTTATTATTGGTATAACCGGAGCATGTCGAACAAATGAACTTACACTACTTAATGTCAATAACGTATCAAAATATTCTCATAATTCTGATGAATTGCTATTAATTAATGTACTAAATACCAAGACAAAAAAAGACCGCAACTTCGTTATTCGCAAGGAATATGTAAACATTGTTCAGAAATATCAAGCTTTACGTCCTTCTAACACCCCAATTGAACGATTTTTTCTACAATATCGCAACGGAAAGTGTATCCGACAACCTATGGGTCAGAATAAAATTGGCAGTATTCCACGAGAAATAGCAACTTTTCTCGGACTTTTAGAACCCCCGTTATACACCGGTCACTGTTTTAGAAGAACCTCAGCCACACTTTTGGCCGAATCAGGGGCTGATCTTCTATCGCTTAAGCGCCATGGAGGCTGGAAGTCTAATTCGGTTGTAGAGGGATACATAGAGGATTCAATCCAAAGTAAATCAAAAATTTGTAATAGTATCGTGGAGGCCATAACGCTGAAAGAACCTCTGTCAGATTCTTGGTCTCGCCCTTCTACATCTAAAATGAGCCCCCATAAGATTGGAAACAATAGCCCTCTCTCGCCAACATTTCCGCCAATAGAATCCAATGAATCGGCACAACTATTTAAAATTACTGATACGAGTAGTTTACCACAAAACAGCGCACAATTCACAAACACCAACATAACATTACCTAACAAAAATATTAAACTTAACATAAGTAACTGTAGCAACGTTACATTTAATATTTCTTAATTATTTTCTACTTCTTATTATTTTCTTCAATTTATAGATTATCTTAATGTGTTTTAATTGAAATAAAAATATTTTGTCATTATAAATTGTTTTCTTTTTCATTTTGTCATTTCCTCGCTGAGGTGGGATGAAAAGTTACGTATTGCACTCGAGTGGAAAGATTTTTCACCTTGTGCTCGTTTGTTTCCCTCGCTGACGCTCAGGATTCTAATTTAGAATCACTCGCTGCGCTCGTGATACAACTTTAGAATCCTTCGCTTGCTCGGTCATCCAAATCGAGCACGCGGTTAAAAAGGAACTTTCCACTCTTGTATAATAAATAACTATTTTCTTTCTTCATCATAGTTTTTATTTTTGTTCACTAACAGTAATGATTTTTATCTTTAGATATGTAGCCTCGTTACCTACGTTGGTAGCCTCATAAATAAATAAAGGTACTCCAATAGAAGGTTTATCATTTAATACAATGTGCCAGGTTTATTTCGGGGGGTGCAGCCTCAAATACCCCGCGGGGCGGTAGGCAGCGGCGCTCAGATGGTCAGCTTCACATACGCGAAGGAGTGGTTGCGCGAGCGCCGCTTACTGGTCGATTCTCCGCTCGCGCTGTCCTTCGCAGGCGCCAACCTAGGTGGCGTGGTGATGACACTGTGCCTCAACCCGTTTGATGTCGTCGCCACTAGACTCTCCAACCAACGTGAGTTTACGACGATACTTTGAGAAACTATGAACATACCAAGCGTAGCTCAGATGGTCAGCTTCACATACGCGAAGGAGTGGTTGCGCGAGCGCCGCTTACTGGTCGATTCTCTGCTCGCGCTGTCCTTTGTTGGCGCCAACCTGGGCGGCGTGGTGATGAAACTGTGCCTCAACCCGTTTGATGTCGTCGCAACTAGACTCTCCAACCAACGTGAGTTTACGACGATACTTTGAGAAACTATGAACATACCAAGCGTAGCTCAGATGGTCAGCTTCACATACGTGAAGGAGTGGTTGCGCAAGCGCCGCTTTCTGGTCGATTCTCCGCTCGCGCTGTCCTTCGTGGGCGCCAACCTGGGCGGCGTGGTGATGACACTGTGCTTCAACCCGTTTGATGTCGTCGCAACTAGACTCTCCCACCAACGTGAGTATTCTGTAGTACAAGGGCGGATCCAGAGGGGGGGTCAAGGGGGTCGTGACCCCCCCCCCTGGGCTGAGTCCATCTGTACCCACTTTACAATCTGTACTTCCAATCTGTACCCACTGTGACTTGACCACGACTGGATGACCCCCCCTGGCGCCAAAGCTGGATCCGCCCTTGATAAGGTACTTTATATAGTGTATTATTTACCCTTAAGAATTAAGAGGCTTACCGATTAAAGATCACCTTGAAGCTGTATCTTCAGTAGAAAGAGACAAGGAAGTCGCTTTTAATCTATTACATACAAACCAAAACAGTTTAGTGATTTTAAAACACTCGTATGTTTGCTTTCAGCGGTGGACGCACAGAATCGAGGCAAGCTGTACAGCGGTATGCTGGACTGCTTCGTTAAAATGATCAGAACCGAAGGCGCTCGGTCACTGTACAAGGTACCTTTATAAATAAATTGTATTAAACTCATTCAATGCTTTAAAATGAAAGTACAATCAACAAATGCAACATGCAGGCCGGCAGGGTGAAGATGGCTGGTGTGGCAGGTAAAACTGCTGTATCAGCTATCGTCACGTCTGGACTTCACCTTCACTTAACATCAGGTGGGGTGGAGTCATTTGTCGGACCTATCTATAAAAAAAAAAAAAAAAAAAAAAAAAAATTAGAGCGCTATGTATTTTAAGCTCGTCACGAACTGACCATTTCTAGCAGGCCGTGCTTTGGCCATCCCTCCCCTTTTATTTTATTTTTTTTTAACGGGGAGAATTCTTTTAAGCACCGTCCCCGCCCACTGGGCTAGCGAGCGGGGGTGTGTGGGACTCACCCGGCTAAAGAGATAGCCGGGAATACTCCACTAAACTCCCCGGGAACTTCGACTCGCCATAATTGAGCAGGCCATGAGCATGCGCAGGGCGCTGGCTCGCGTAGGCCTGCTCGGCGGAGGCCATCCCTCCCCTAACGCAACTACATTGGCATGAAAAATTCATAATAATGTAGTTCCAGTGTGACCAAGATAGCGCGTGGCCGAAATCCGAAGTAATTCCAGGAAGATATAAATATACCTTTTAAAGATGGATAGTTGACATTAACGACATGGCTGATAGTCTGGATCACCAAGGCCAAAGATAGAAAAACTTGGAGTAAAACACAGAAGGCCTTTACTAGCTGAGGGGTCCTAACAAAAAGTTTTTTGTTTTTGAGTGTGTATGCTGTTGGTCGCAGATGACCTTTACAGCGTCACCGGGTTTGGGGACGGCGTGATCCTAAGGGGACCTCAAGCCGAGAATTGGCGAGTGCCTCTAGAGGTATTCCAGGCGGATGGCATCTCCCCGGGGAGTCTCCTCTCCGTCTGGAGCCTCTAGACCACTCGAACCTGAGGGGGTCGGCTCAACTAGAGGGCCTCTCTGAAACTCGGACCGCGGCTCTAGTGAGCCGTTGTCGTGGGAGGCTATAATAATAGTAATAAATAAGCTTTTTATTCATAGAGGAAGGATAAGCCTTTTGTATTTCCTGTTTACTTCCGAGATATTGTAAATTATAAAGTTCCCTTTAAAGGGGAGATTTTACGTACTTTGCCATCCTTATTTCACCTCTTATTCACCTCCTGTCAAAGTCTTCAAAGTGCAATAAGATCTTGCTCGCACTGTACGTGGTAGATTGCCTATAATCTGGGGTCCTTTAAGAGAGGCATGAAGAAGCAGTTTATAACTGCTGTAACTTCTCTGTATATATCAATACAGGGAGAAAAAAGTAGCCCTTGCTGAGTTTCTTGCCGGTTCTTCTCAGTGCAAGGTCTCCCGCCGTAGTTTTGCGAACCGATGGCGTAGCTTCTTGACCTTCACAAGCGCTTGTAACAGCCTAGACTGAATAAATGACTTTTCATTTCATTTTTACCAGCTATCTTCGCGTTTAGACTTTATCACCTCTTAACATCAGGTGGGGTAGTCATTTGCCTACCTGGCTATAAAAAGAAAATTAAATCTAGAACAACATTTGTATGTGGTCTTAAAACTCATCTTTTTCCGTAGGGAGTGGCCGCCATCTATTTGCGTCTAGGTCCCCACACTGTTCTGTTGCTGGTTTGCTGGGACCAACTAAAGCTGCTAGAAGAATACCTCAGGAGTTAGCACACAACAAATATTGTTTGAATTTAATTTACCTAAACATTATGTAGGTTTTAATGAATACAAACGGAACTAACTGCAGTGGATAATATTTTGAGGTACCCGCTGTTCGTCCGTCTGTTGGTCTGTGAGCAAGCTGTATCTATGAAATAGGTAGATAGATAATTTTTTTTACTGAAATTGTATTCAAACAATAATATACTGCCGTCCTAAAGCTAAAACGCGGCTAAATGACACAACCAACTTTTATATGGCCAAAAAACGGCTCATAAACTTAAAATTATTGCTATTTTGTAACCATTCAGCACATGACGGATTTTTAGACTTAAACTTTAAAAGATACGAATTCTTGTTAAAGACAGATTGATAGAGTATTAATAAAAACAAGGTATATAATGGATGCAATTTAGGGCTAAAAAATCGACCACGTGTCACTTAGCCACACTTTAGTTTGAGGTCGGCAGTATAGGGAGTTTGAGGTACATCAAACTGTATTGCAATTACTACAAATCTTGTACGATGCTACGAAACTCTTTATGTGTGACTTCAACTCGCACGATTTTGAACACTCATTTAGAGCGGTTTCAGCCCCAATGTATACTAAATGAGATGGTAGGTATTATATTATAGGTGTTCATTTTTGTTTATGTAATTTTTGATGTATACAAAGGAAATAAATTGTTTATATACTTATATTTTTACAAAAATGGCCAATAATAAAATATATATATTTATAATATCGAGTTTTTAATTTAGACAAAATTAATTTTGTGTAGCCTAAGAAATGATGGTGAAAATTCGACACGGCCATGAGGGCCGTGGTAGAATAATGGTCAGTTCTCCCGGATAGCGAAGGGTTCGAGTTCCGTCTGCTGCCTGGTCCGCGTGTTTTTTTTCTAGTAGAATTTTCTTTACATTTTAACAACTAGTAGTTAAATGCTTAAAAAATTAAAATTAACTGGTGGCCTGGCCAGCGTACTGGTGTTTGATTCGGAATACACCCTAAGTCGTTTACCCGAATGTCATTGGCACTCGCATTCGGGCTAACGATCGAATGTAATGGCGCCATTGCCATTATATCATAATTTTATTCTTAGTCCTGTCCCTCTAGCATGACCACCGAAACGGGATATGATAAAACGATATATCGGCATTAACTGTCAGACTACTGTGGAGTTTGACAGTTGAGACTCGATAAAAAGCTTTATCATATCCCGTTTCGGTGGTCTAGAGGGGCTGCCCTAACATAGGCACCGCGATATGACACATTACTTGTTTTATCACTCAAGTGTCAAATTAGGTACTATGGAGTTTGACAGGTAGACGCGATAAAAAACATGATATAACGTAAATTGAGGAACTCATGCTACGGGGACTGGGACATCCATAGATAACGTCATGTTTACAGACAAGGCTATTCAGGTGAAAGATAAAGTAATGGACGAGAATGAAGGCAAATGAAAGTGCTCGTAGGTTTCTTATGGTGGATGCAAATATTATACTGCTGACGGAAACAAACCATAGACCTACCGACTTTTCTGTCCTTCTGGAATAACTACGCTATGCTGTGTCGTAACCTCCGCTTAGGGCCGGATTTAAGGCACCCTGCTTTGCTGCGGAGCTGCGACTCAGGGCCCCACAACAGAGAAAAAAAAAATATTTTAGGGGCCACCACTTCTTTGTTGGCCCAGGGCCCCACACACCTCTAAATCTGGCTCTGCTTCCGCCAATGATAATTTTGTGACGCAATTTTCCCTCCTTGTCTTTTGTAAACGATTCTGTGATTAAGAATGCACTCCACTCTCCACTCCATTATCTCATTACCATTAACAGTACCCTTAGCACGAACTAATATCGAATTCGAATAGTTTGCGAGTGCGAAATGTCACTATCAGATTTTGTATGGAAACTTGAACGCCACAACAGACGTAAAAAGAACTAAAAATCAGTACACATTTGACAATGACATTTCGCACTCACAAACTATTCGAATTCGATATTAGTTCGTGCTATGGTTACAGTACCCCTAGCACGAACCAATATCGAATTGGTATCGTTTGCGAATCCGAAATGTCATTGTCAAATGTGTAATGATTTTTAGTTCTCGTTACGTACTTTGTGCCGCTGCTGTTTAAGTTTCCATACAAAATTTGACATTGACATTTCGGTTTGCAAACTATTCCAATTCGATAATGGTTCATGTTAGGGGTACAGACACGAACCAATATCGAATTTGTAAAGTATGCGAGTCCGAAATGTCATTGTTAAATATGTACTGATTTTTTGTTTCCGGTACGTCCAAAATGGCGCTGCTGTTCAAGTTTCCATACGAAATTTGACATTGACATTTCGGTTTGCAAACTATTCGAATTCGATAATGGTTCGTGCTAAGGGTACAGATGTAGGTATAAACCAGACCGTTACACTAATTATCAAAAACTAAAAACCTATGGAAATTACTAAGACAAAATAAAACCAAAAAATGTACTCGAATTGTATGCTTTTATTTGATAACAGCACAAATCTTGCTTTGTATTAAAACCTTAACGTAAGTGCGTAACTTATTCTAGTAGTAGATAATAATACAAAACTTGGGCCATTAAGCTACAAACTTTGTGCTATGCAATAAATCAGTTGGCTTATAATTATTTGAGCGAGGGAACATATCTTTTATTTCTAAAACAGGTATACTTTAGATAAATGAGATTGGACAATTGGACGCACATATCATCAATTTTCTAATTAAAGTGTTTATCAGATCCGTTTAATTAAATATTGCTTAAAAAGAAGAGCCCAATAAAAAATACAATTATCTAAATCATATACCTTCTGCACCATGCAACTAAAATAACAAATCAAGAACACCTCGGTATAAACAATAACAAAAACATGGTGCAAGTTTATATGTATACTTTCTTAATCACATACCATCCATACCATTAACTAAACATTAGTGTCGATTCGGGTATGATTCTCTAAACCTAAACTTAAATTTGACAACAGTGTATCCTTGTCATTCTCTATACAGAGTAAAAAGGTCAAACTGATGTTAAATTTAGTTTTAAGTTTAGAGAATCCTGCCAGAATCGACATCATTGTTGTACTTAAATTATGATGACATTTATATCATAATCAAAGGGTGTAAATAAGAGCGCCTTATTTCTCTATTGAAGTAAATATGCATCTGTATGAGCCTGCGCTGTGATAAGCGGAAGGGAACACGAAGCGGGCGTGCGCTCGGCGTGTTTGTTTCATGTTATTTTATAGAGCAGGCTGCGAGAGGCGGTTCTCCCGCGCAGCGCTTTTCTATAGCTGCGTTTTTGCTGGTATTTGGTCACAGATTAATCTGAGCAAATTGCTATTACCGAACGGCCCGACCAAGCGTTGATTAATTTCTAACCTCATAACATGACGGACACATGACCGATAACCAGATTAATCTTTCTCGTCGGTCAAAATACTCCGAGCAATCAGATTCACATCGGACTGATCTGAGCGGAATCACCGAACGCTTCAGATTTACTCTAGATGTAATAAACGAACGATTCAGACTAAAAAGATTGATACCAATTGATACAGACGCAAATAACGAACGCAGCGTATGAAATGACATAAAAACGCTCCGTGCTCCCATTTAACGCAGCACAGGCTCTAATTAAATTGTGAAGAGTATTGGATATTGTTTTACATTGTCATTGATTCGCATTTGCGATTCAGCAAGTATTTATTAACTAAATTCCGAAAGGAAAGACTTAATTTATAAAACCTCGCAGACTTTAGTTAACTACGAAACTCATTTTACATTAGAAACATACAAAATAAAACCTTTTATTTTCTATGATACAATATTCTAATAATTCCAAATCCAGCACCATTAACTTACATACTTGTAATCCATATGTCAAAACAATATGCCGGCTTAAAAATGTATTATACCCTAGCGACCGCCCGAGAATTGGTCCGCGTAAATTTAGTTTTTGAAAATCCCTCAGAACCTACCATTTATTTCGGGATAAAAAGTAGCCTATATCTCAATGCAAGTTATAAACTATATGCGTACCAAACTTCATCCAAATCCGTTTAGTAGTTTTTGCGTGATTGAGTAACAAAACATACAAACTTTCAGATTTATAATATAAGTTAGCCTTGAGTATAGACTATTTTACTCGTATTTCACACTGAGAGAAACTATATTCGAGTAGATGCGGTCTATCTTTATTCATTCGTCTATAAAAAAAAAAGAAATTAGCACATTTGGCACAATATAAATTATAATAAAATTACGATACAAATTGTCTTTCTTATGAGTGAGTTACAACAAAATTAAATAAACCTTTTTTATACTCTCTCACGTACAATAATATAAATTGCAACCTTACACTTTGTAGTGTTCAGATTTATTACCAACTTTTGTTCCATTAAAACAGGCAGTTTTGTTTTAAAACTTAGCTTAAAAGTATACAACTATATTAGAATGACATACAAAAAAGCATTGTCCATCGGTAAAATTAAGTACTTGTATCTCTTATGCTACAATCATCATCATTATCATCATCAGCCTATTAATGTCCCCACTGCTTGGACACAGGCCTTCCCTATGGAAGGAAAAGGGAGATTAGGCCACGACCCACTACGCCTTATATTACAATATAAGCCTTTAATGGCATAACAGTTATCCAATATAAAATTAACTACTTATACATTAAAATTTAAATATTCGGACGACAAGGTTTGGAGCTGTGACCAAAAAGTGTTGCTGTCACAAAATTCCAATTGAATTTCTATCCGTACTAATATAAGGAGATTCAACTATATTAATCAAATGTGTAAAATATTTAAACTCTTGTAGAATAGCTATTCTAATGAAACACTACGTTATCACACTCTTCACAACATAACATTTAAATTTCCGACTCTGAAGTTAGCTGTGTGACCACTCAGAAAAGGGTGATAATGTTTGGTGTGAAAATGGGTAATGCGCAGAAATGGGTCATAATCACTACTATATCTGCTTCACCAGCTGCCTTCGCCGTGGTAGAATAGTTACGTATTTTTATATCAGGTATAGGAATTTGGCAAGTGGCTATCTAACACAAGTAGAATGGGCAAAATATGATGCGAGTCGCAAACTTAAATGGAAAATGTTTCCGCTTTTAGCGCACTGACTAGCGATGCGCGACTTCGAATAATACTAATACTAATCATTTGACCCCACGAATCATTCGACTAAGTCGACTGCGGCTTATATCATTCGACTGGAGTCGAAGCTATCGGGCGCGGTAAAATCATTCGTAGTCGCGCATCGCTAGCACTGACGCGGCGAAATTGCGGTAATCTGTCGTCAACTTAGACTACTTAGAGCATATATCAAATCGTACACCATGAAGTTTAATAGTATGCTGCATCTCGCACTATCGGTCAATGATTTCATATAATAGGGAATTCTCCACTTAGAAAAAACTATAAATGTATTATTATTGCGACAGTTTAGGCACAGAGGAGTCGGAAAATGTTACGTTTCAGTCTATGATGTTTCAAAGCATCCTTGTCCTCCTCTATACAGAATGAAAAGGTGAGACTGATGTTAAATTTAGTTTTAAGTTTAGAGAATCACGCCAGAATCGACACCAGTGTTTACTTATTTTGACAGTTGCTGAAACCGTTGACACGTGAAGGTAAAGAGCGAGATGTAATTGCTTTATGAATGAGTGTGAAAGAGACTACTTTAGTGCGCGCTATTGGCGTCTGTTGCCAAGGAAAGTTCAGGCGGGCACTAATTGTGCCATTTTAAAATACAATAATGTTAGTGTGTAACCTGTCAACAATGGCCATTTTAAAACTCAATGCAAAGGTTTTTTTAACTGTTCTAAAACTGAAATTCACAACCAGCAGAGATAACACCTCGTCAAAAGAAGCTCATAACACAGTTGAGAAGAAAATCTTTACTTGCTGATTTGATAAATAAGAAAAAAGCTGCTCTAAAACCAAGAAGAAGGAGATTTCAAAAAACTCCTAACTTTGTGACATTATTGCTAACTTACAGTCAAACTCTCTGTTACATCAAGAAAATGCTGATTTATAAACATCAGTAAATGCTCAAAACAATGATTTTTTGATACCCAAAAAATAGTAAATTTTCGCAGAATTACGTAACACACACCGCACTTTGGTGTGATGGTACCAATCCATAAACTGTGAACCTGGATTTACCAAAAAGTCATTTGAAGCTCTTTCGCTTTAGGTAAAAAGGAACCCAAATATAAAATACAAATGTTGTCTGGTTTTCGATGAAATGGCTATTCACAAGTCTGTACAATGGGATGGTAATAATTATATTGGCTTTGTAAATATTGGGTACTAATTAGATGATGATACCCAAGCGATTGCCAGGGAAGTACTAGTCTTTATGTTAACTTCAATCAATGATAGCTGGAAACTTAAAGGCTATTTTTTCATTGATAAGGTTAGCGCCGAGCAAAAAGCTTCTTTAGTAAAAACTTGTTTTAATTAGACCTCTGAATGTGGATTAGAAGTTGTTAACATCACTTTTGATGGTTGTCCTGCAAATTTTGCCATTGCAAAAGTATTGAGTTGTCAAATAGATGGGGATGATGAAATTAAACCTATATTTGTTTACAATGGTAAAAAAATATCAATATTCCCAGACCCTTCCCACATGTTGAAATTACTAACAAATACATTGGGTGATGAGTATACTTTACTAAATCGGAAGGTAATATTGTATCTTGGAGATACATCCAAAGCTTAGTCAAATTGCAAGAAAGCGAAGTATTTAATGTGGCTAATAAGCTTGAAGAATCTCACATATATCACAAAAACCTAATAATGAAAGTGAAGTTAGCAGCACCGGTATTAAGTGCTTCAGTAGCTGATGCAATAGAGTTTTGTAATAATAACCTTAAAATTGAAGAATTCAATCATTCCGAAGCTACTGTTGATTTTATTAGACATTTTAATAACTTGTTAGATATAATGAACTCACGTAATTTAAAATCATATGGATTTAAAAAACCTCACAAGTCTGACAATTTGACATTATTAAACAATATTTGGAAAGATTGTTTGATTACATAAAATCGTTAAGAATCGATAATATAAAGATTTTGGATACTAACCGGAAAACCGGCTTGAAAGGGTTTTTAATATGTATAAAATCCCTTCTATTCTTATATGAGGAGCACATATTGAGCGGTAGCTTGGACTTCTTAAGTACATATAAACTAAGCCAAGATCATATTGTTTTTTTTAGTGCTATTAGAGCAAACCAGAAACACAAAGGTTCGACTAATGAGATGCCTGGTCTTTCCAATCTTTCTGTACGGAGCTGAGACGTGGACGCTGAGGATGCGAGACCGTCGCAAGATTGACGCTCTAGAAATGTGGTGCTGGAGACGCATGCTTCGCATCCCGTGGACTGCGCACCGAACCAATGTTTCGATTCTAAAAGAACTCCAAATTAAAAAGAGGTTATCGTCGACTGTGCAAATACGTATCCTCAAGTTCTTTGGGCACATTACCCGTAACGAGGGATCCATGGAACGATTGGTGGTGCAAGGCAAAGTCGAGGGCAAAAGATCACGTGGACGCTCTCCTACACGGTGGACGGATCTCATCAAATCTGTCACACGATCCAGCATCAACGACAACTCCCACTCTGCAAAACACAGAGCAACATGGCGTCGCATCACGAAGGAAGCGGTGCGGTGGCGCAATATTCTGACCGGCACATGACCACGACCACTCTGACAAGAGTGAACGACTAAGAAGATTAGTGCAAAAGGCAGATTTAATATTAATCCGACGGCCACACACTTTAAATCAGCGTACAATAAGTTATTAATACACGGTGAATTAAAACATTTAGCTGATAACTGTGTTCCCCTCAGTGACATAGGTATTTTAAGTTACACTAACCCTGAAATTGTAATTAACGATATTACCGATCGAAGCAAATTAATTGACAATGACAAAGATATCCGAGAGTCATTGGAGACAGAAATTATCATTCCCGAAGATCACGACTATATTGCTGGTCCTACAAGATTAACTGAATTTTCTAGGTCAATAATAAAGTATACAGCTAGCTATGTAGTAAAATCGTTTATAAATAAACAATTGGCGTGTGTGGAATGCCTGTCATATTAATATATGACAGGTGACAGGTGACATTTTTTCCTGTCGATGTTGTCTCTCTGCAATTCAAAAAAGACAAGGGTGGTATTCATTACCCATCCCTATCTGTTATAAAATTATGTGAAATATCTGAACAAATTTTTAGAAAATTTATAATGATTAATACGACTAATACAATTTATGTTCTTGTACAGAAATGTATTAAAAAAATGTGTTGGAAAGAATTTGTAATTGTAATTTGATCATGTTAATAATAATGATTGTTTTGCAACAAACCACCATTAGGTATTTCTAATTAAAGCTATTTGTAAAAAGTATACGAATGTCAGAATGCTTGACTATTCAAAACATTTGATTAAAAAAGGAAAACTGACAGAAATTTGTATAACAAACTCATATTGTTTAAAGGACAATAAATCTATTAACAAATTCTTGTTTTTTTATTGTACATACCCTATCTGATACAAATGTATAAGCAATTACAGTCCATCTAATCTAAGAAGTACCGTATGACATTTCATGTTTTTCAAACAGATATAACTTTGTTTAAGTGTAACTTATTCAAATTCGATAACCTTTTTCGTAAAACCATGAATTTATAATGGTTTTATTATTGGATCTAAAAATGTACAATTCTTAATATCTAAATTTAATTGAAAACTTTGAAACAAAGCAAAATAAACAATATTTACACAATAAATAAGTTCTATTAGTTCTATTCTTGACCTCATTGCAAAGTCACATAGTTAGATCACTGCTCGTAGTGTTGCGACTCCTCGGAATCAATTGTGTACGAATAAATCGTGTACATTATTCGGAAAATCGAATTTATTACTTTCAAATTATCAATTAACGACTTTGTAAAAATACATGACAGATGACAAAATGATCAAATTTGATGCCTCGGTCCATAATCTACTCAGATTACGATGTTGTAAGCGCTAGAAGCGCTTATGGCCAATGTCAGACCACGGCCAGAAAGCGAATTTTCGACGTAATGTTTAGGGGTAGAGCGCAATTTAATTTTTGAATAATTTCACGTTAAGGCTCGATCGCATAATGCATTTAATACATAGGTACCCTAAAATAAATTAATTTAATTATTTTCAAATAAATCCATATAGGCGAAATAGCTCCAGAAAAAAGATTTTTTTATCAGACAACACTGCCGACCACAAGCGCACGCGGTCCCCCTCGCCCGCTTCAGCAGTCTCTCGCCATCTTGGAAGCTGACTGTGCGCGTACCTACTTTCTCGTTTGTGTTTTACAATTTGTGACTTGGCTATTACTTTTCTGGACTCTAAACTAAGCAAGTGTTTATTAATAATGTCGAAAAGAGGACGTACTTTGAACAGCCAGGCTCGTGAATTGGTGGTGAAATTACACGAGTATTTTGAGCGTGAATGTCAAAATGGTGGAGCTCTACTGCCAGTTACACAAGTTCGGGATCGCGTCGGTGAAGCTCTCGGTATTGGTAGCCGCACCGTCAGCAAAATATAAAGTGAAAAATATGGGCCTTCGGGGAGTGACAGTAACGTACTTCACACGTCGAAAAAAAGGAAAAGAACTAAACCTGTGACAGGTATCGATGACTTCGATAGCCATGCTATTAGAAACCATATCTATGGTTATTTTACAAGAGGTGAATTTCCAACATTGGCAAAGTTATGTGCAACTTTAGAAGATGCCGGGCTATACAAGGGAAGCATAGAGTCGTTGAGAACGATAATAACAGGAATTGGCTTCAGATACAAAAAAGTTGACAAACGAAAAATTGTTATGGCATAATTATGCAGCGACTAACATTCCTGCGCGAAGTAAAACAAATTATAAACTGGGATAATGTAATATTTTTGGACGAAACATGGCTAAATTCCAACCACTCTGTGCCGAAAACATGGACAGATGATTCTGAAGCTTCGTGCTCGAAAGTACCGATAGGGAAAGGTAGACGCCTCATTGTATGCCATGCTGGATCAGCGTCTGCAGGTTTCGTGGAAAATTCATTATTAGCTTTCCAATCTAAAAGCATAAAAGAGTATCACGAAGAAATGGACGCGGAAAGGTTCCAAGAGTGGTTCTTAAATTTACTAACGAATATCCCTCCTAACAGCACAATTATAATGGATAATGTCCCATACCACTCTGTGCAAATTGATAAAGCACCAATATCAGCCAATAAGAAAGCAGATTTGGTGGCATGGCTGCAAAGAAAAGGAGTGGAAGCCGAGATGTCACTATTAAAAGCTGAATTGTTACATTTAGTGAAATTGCATAAACCACCAAGACGGACTTATGCTATTGACCAATTAGCCGAAGAACACGGGCACAAAGTCATACGACTTCCTCCGTACCATTGCCAATATAATGCCATTGAACTGATTTGGGCCCAAGTTAAAGGTAATACTTTATAATATAATAATATTTTTTAGTAGTTGATTATATTAATAACAAGAACTTGTTCTTAATAAGCTGAAATATATTGTGAATTGAGATTTTCCGTTAAGTACAGTAATACTATAAAACATTACCCTTCTTCTTCGCAGTTGTGTAAAATTGTACATTACCTAACAAAATATTGCAAGATTAGCTTAACACATTTTGTAGCCATATAACACGAGTGCCTCTAGCTTACCTAATAATTATATAATTGTTTTACAGGTTATGCAGCTAGACACAACACAAAACCACCCTTCAATGTCAAGAAAATAGAAGGCTTATTAAAGGAAGCATGTGCGCAAGTTACACAAGAAGATTGGTCAAAAGTAGTAGAAAAAACAAAGAAAATAATAATGGACGACTTCGACAGAGACGTAAAATTCGATGATTTCATGGATAATCAACTAGTCATTAATTTAAATGACGATGATGACGAGGACGACAATGATTCCAGTACTTGTAGTGAATAATAAAATATCCTAAACATTACTTTTATTTAAATGCTTCGACTTCGACCTTTAGAGCCTTAAGATTTTTTCGGTATTCTATCCTCAGATAACTAGTAAAACCTAAATTTACCAATAAACAACCTTTTACAATAACTTATTTAAAAAATATAGGAAAAGAGTACAGAGAAATAATATCTTAAATTTCGGATATTATGGTCATTGATCTCTTAAAATTCGGATATTATAGTAATCGATCTCTTAAAATTCAGATATCATAGTAATCGATTTTTTAAAACCCATCCCTATTATTCAATTTGTCAGAACTGTCAAACGGTACTTCTTAGATTTGATGGACTGTACACACTCCCAGTAAACTCCCAGTTTACTTATTTCTGTGATGACTATACATATCTATACTACACTATTACTACTACCTATATTCTGATGGGTCTGCTGAGATTTTGCAGTGCTTCTACAATGTTCGCGGAGGCTGGGGTATCGGACTTCTATGCTGTTATTAGGGCGCGCATAGCTTCCTATTGGGAGGGCCTGTGTTACTCTGGTTACCGTTAGTAAATGTTTGTACGCGGATTTTAACCATCCAATTTATAGATATTGGCTATCTGTGCACACTGATGGGAATCGCAAAAAGACGATTGACTTTGTATTATGACAATGTAAATGTATTTTTAATTAGTTTTTATATTGTATCATGTTTTAAATATGGGTCTTAGCTACCTGCAATAAATGATTTTATTATAATTATATCTCAATCTTCTTTCCCTATTTAGACAAATGTTCCCACCTAACCTTAACATAATAAATTTTCCCTACAGAATCATTTGTGGGGAAAATGTATCGTATTGAGGTAACACTGCTTCTGCACCTACTTATGTTTCTATCCCCTACGGGTGTACGCGTATGTCAAATCTATAGGATTCTCTACTTAAGTTTACAGTACTAATGACGTCAATACCGCAAAGCAATATGGCGTCCACTGCGTTTAACTACACGCGAAATTTGAAATTCTTAAATATAAATGCATTTTTGGGGCACGATTAACAATTGAATAAAAAAAAAATGTAGTAGCATATAAGCTCTTTAAAATGTAATTGAAACACTTTAGCATCCCTCTCATAGTATGTTACTCGTGAACCTCGTTTCACGCGGTAGCGCCATTGCTGTATTTGTTTTGTATTTAACAGTATTAAAAATAAAGTGCCAATTGTTAGCATCTGTATTTAGAATGAATATTTGCAGGAGTTGCTACTATTTTTACAGAAAAAATATTCTTAATTTTAATAAAAACCCACGATAAAGATAATATTTTTCTTGTCTATTGTCACGTGACCCAAAACGCTTGGGATTGGCGGAGCCTAAAATGACGTCTCACGCAAGTAAACTTCTGGTTAAAGTGACATTAGATTGTAAGGTTTGACGTTTTAATAACAGTCGTGTGACGTCACACACCAGTGAGACGCCATATTGTCGAGAGATACGTTTTCGCGGCAACTTTAAAAAAAAGAGTTTTTGATTTAGTTTTTTCTACCGAAATACACAATATAATGATAAATATCCAGTTTTTATGGACTCTTTAAACATTAGTAAATACCATGAGATTGTTTTCTAAAACTTGTCAAATACCCTATTATAGGAAATCACAAACAAATAGAGCGATATATGCGATATAAATTCATAGTAAATAACAGATTACCGCAGTTTCGCTACCGCTTTTCGCCGCCTCGACTACACAAGGCATTAACACCATAATTTAAAGTAGAAAAGAAACGCAATGAACACAATATTATAAAATCTTGAACATCGATTGAAAAAAAAACAGTTTCACAATTTATGAATATTCTTTTAAACTAGGTCCATATACAAAAAAACGTACGCCCCACATCATACCCAAGAATATTAAAATAAATAATTATTCTAAATTGGAGAGCTATTCCCTACTTAAACATGTACGTGTGACGTCACAGAGCTCGATCGTGGTTCACTCCGGTCGAACTTTAGTAGCGTCTCTACGTACGCTCTATGACGTCACAGTCACCACGCGGCCCGCCGAAAGTTCCTTTAGTAATTTGGTCATAACTTCGTCAATATTTGACGTAGAACAAAAATTTAACCACTGTATTTTATGGAATCCTTAGCTCTATGAATCTGCATTCTCAACTAAAATCGTTACGGATCCTCATTGGTTAAAACTAGACAGTGATAATTTGGCTTCATACTCGCTTACTTTTAACAATTGCTTACTAACGCCCTGGACAGCGGGTTTGAATGAACCATCAATCCAAAGAATGTAACAATATGGTTCATTTTCGTAACAAAAAATATTTCAATATGTCTCACCCACAGGATCACCACCACTGGAGTTTGCTATTATTTTTTATCAAAATCGCCAAAGTTGGTGGCGTGCGGGGAGGACGAAAGTGCGTTCAGACAACGCTATACTAGCTAGCTATATTAGATTTATAGCTCATAGCATTATATCGCGCACCATACATTTACAAAGAACACGTTAACACAACGATATACTCTACATATAGCGTAGTCTTACGCACTGTCTTACATTGTGTGTGTATTTTGAACCATGTCTTTAAGACTGCTCAGCTCCGCTTTTGCGGAAACGCAGTCTAAGCCGCATTTTGATTGGCTGCGTGTCAGTGTGACGTCACGGTCGATATGGTTGGAAATATTTATCGAATAAGTGTTATTTTTTTTTATACAACACTAGGTGGTGTCTCTTGGTCATACAAAACAGGCGTTAGGTAGTAAGTCTATGTGAGTGTGTGTGTTTGTTTGTGTCAAACGCGTGAAGTGTGGCGACGCCGCCCGAGCGCACACGAGTCGGCCACTTGCGCGGGAGTTTTGCCGCTCGTCTCCGGGAGATACAATCTGATCAAATCAAAACACTTGGTAATTAATATGATACGAAAATTTTCAGACAAAAAGTATAATCAGACGAACAGACAAAAATTCTAAAAACTATATTTTTGGCTTCGGTATCGATTGTAAATCACACCCCAAGTATTCTTTTAAAAAATATTCAATGTACAGTTTTGGCTTTCCTACTATCTTAATATATATAAATCTCGTGTCACAATGTTTGTCCTCAATGGACTCCTAAACCACTGAACCGATTATAATAAAATTTCCACAACATGTGCAGTTCGATCCAACTTGAGAGATAGGATAGTTTAAATCTCAAATTATAGTCGCAATTTTAATTTATTGCAAATTATTACTTTTGGGCGGTACGAAGTTCGCCGAGTCAGCTAGTTTTATTATATGTATAGATTAATACTTACGCTTCATAGACAAACAGCGCGGCGGTGAGAGCTGCGAATATGAGGAACGAGTATGGCCCTATGGAGTCCCTCATGACGGGGAAGCACATGCCCACGAGGAAGTTGCCGCCCCAGTTGGCCAGCGAGCCCCACGCCATTCCCCCCGGACGGGGACCCACCTCAAACATTTCTATACAAAAAATATATTAATTAATTAATTATTTGTTTTTCCCGCCTAAAAATTAATTATTTGTTTATAAAGATGTAATGAATTTTATCTTCACTTATATCTTATATATAAAATTTTCGTGTCACAATGTTAGTTACCATACTCCTCCGAAACGGCCTGAGCGATTTTTATGAAATTTTATATGCATATTCCATGGGTCTGAGAATCGGCTACTATCTGTTTGTCATATCCTTAAGTGATAATGGTTGTCCACCTGCAACGTAGTGTTCTGCAACCTACAGTGCGCCTTCACGCTAAAATTCAAACTATTGGGTATTGTAACGTAGTGTTCTCATATGGATTAGGAGAAATGTTATCCCAGGAAATTGATAGAACACTACGTTACACACCCCTAATTTTTTTTTGACAATATTTTTTTTTATAATGTGGTATTAAAAAATACACACAACCCTAAATTTTCTCTTCTACCACCTGCCCCTATTTTTATGGCGGTATAAAGTACGCTGGGTCAGCTAATAATATATAAATTAACTATAGTGACCTTCAGTACCTAACTCTTTCAATCTATAAACTAACATAGAAATTTGAATGTAACTCCTCTCTTCTGCCTCTCATTTAGTTGCGTGCCCGACAGGGTCCATAATGATCGTATTTTGTCACGAATAATTTATTCAGTTGGAAATTTATTTACGAAAAATTATATTGCGAATAAAATTTAATTCAAATAATTATCCAGATAACAAGTTATTCGAATAATGCCCAAATCTGACCCAGTCCAAAGGAAGATGTTACCTTTAGTTAGGCTTTATTACACTGGTGACTCCGACTTGATCAATTAAATTCAACATTCATTTATTGCAATAATCTGTACAAAAGATGGACAAAATTTGAAAGACCAATGTTATGAACCCTGTCGGGCACGCAACTTTTAAAGGGTATAAGAAATGATGCGCATGCATACTTCATGGAACAATAAAAATGTCGTATTTGGGGGTTAACCACGTACCTATATTAGCATTAAAGCAGTGTTAAAATTTTAAACTCACGTTTATTGATTAAATTGCACGTAAATTGCAAAACTTCATCTAAGCAACTAAGTTTTAATAGGCCAATTTCTAACTTAAGACTGATGACCTAAATTGGCAATTAGTCAATCATTTAATATTAACACTACTGAGGATATTGGTCCTTCGAGCCGGATATGAAGTGAGCACTCACCCGAAGCGATGAAGTATGGAATCGGGCCGAGACCGAAACCGTACGCCAAAACGTAAGCAAGCACTGCCGCCATACACAGGTAAGGCATCCAGCTTACCACTGTCTGTAATATTAAATAGTTATATTAAGTTAATTATAATAGTACGGCATTCGACAAGTTTTAGAAAACGATCTCACGGTATTTATTCATGTTAATTGGAAGTCCATAAACAGTAGATATTCATCGTTCCGTTGTGTATAGTCATAGTCATAGTCATAATATTTATTGCTTCATGTTGGTTACATTTCGTTCTTAAATTTAATAACAGCTCGCAAACATGAGCCCTGCAAGGGCATTGCAAATTATAATAAATGTGTACAAATATTAATTTAAAATTTGATAAAATTACAATAGGATAACAATTCAAGATAGATAGAAAATTTAAATAAGTTAATAAAAAGAATATAATTTTAAAAACAATTCATATTATACTTAAAGCAAGTATTTCATTAGTAAAAAAACTAAATAAAAAACGATACAATGAAATGACACTTTGATCGGAAATTTACTAGCGTGTGACGTCATTTGAGTTTTCGCCAATCCCAGGCGTTTTCCATCACGTGACCATAGAACAAAAAATCAATTTTATTGAATGATTTATTAGAAAAGTCTTTAATTATTCTCTCAGAATAGTAAAATCGCTACTTTGATACTTTATTTTTCATACTGTCAAGCCTCATTGCTACCGTGTACCTTATTTTTGCGAGTCTCCGATTTTTTTTTTTTATAAACCTGATATCATGCCAGGTTTCAGCAAATACCTCTTGATGTATATTTTGTATTAGTTATATCTTATTATTCGTAATTAATCATATTTTTAGCTTTTGTTTCTTGCCATTGCTGTCTTAACAATTTTGACTATGTAGTCTCCGATATTTAGGCACGGTTGCAAATGCCATGATTACGGAGTCACTGTTAGTCCGTGATAATGGCACTTGCAACAGTGCCAAAATATCGGGGTCTGGCAAAAAACAAATTACATGATTGCAATCCCGCTAATTACTTTATTGTTATTGATCATGAAGTTTCAAACAATATATCACAAGTCTACAATTCATAATACACATAAAAGGAGCTATATGATGCAGTGGTAAACACGTTCGATCTGCGATCATGGCAGTTAAGTAATTTTCACAAAGTCCGTTTATAAGATGCGCGACCAAAAATTTATCATCTCGAGCTATTCCGTATTCCGTACTTCGGAAAGCACGTTAAGCCGTTGGTCCCGGCAGCATATGCAACCGTTAGAACTCAGCAATCCGTAGAACCACGTGGTGGGACTTGGCCCATTCTCCCAACTGCATCCATAGGGAAGGCCTGTGCCCCAACAGTAAGTAAGGACTTTAATCGGCTGTTGATAACGACATTCTAGATTTATCAAACAAAACAAAACAATTGTCTTTTAGGTATTGTTTTTTGTTTATTTATATTATAATAAATAAAATCAAATAAATATTTATATAATGAAGAAAGGCTAGAGAAAAGTCGACACGGCCATCAGGGCCGCGGTAACATAATGGTCAGTGCATTTGCCCGGATAGCGAAGGGTGCGGGTTCAGGTCCCTTCTGCTGCATGTTCCACGTGGTATTTTTGCTAGTAATATTTTCTTTAGATTTACCGCGGCCCTGACGGCCGTGTCGAATTTTCTCTAGCTAAGGCAGCAAGGCAGCGCCATCTCTTCGCATTGTAGGTAATCCACAATGTTAAATGAATACCTTTAAAAGTACAGTTTAAACATATGAAAGATGAAATAGCAATTATAGTTATGTTTTTATTTTGTTTATGTTGCCTGGTCCGCACGGATTTTTTTCTAGTAAAAACCCTTTTTAGATTTAAACATCTAGCAGTTAAATGCTTAAAAAAATGATGTGGTGTCGTGGGACACCAGGTAGGAACGAAGTTCCTTCGGCTAATAGAATCGTTCGGCTAGTAGAATCGACACAAATTGCAAACTCGCTTGTGTATGCGACTGTCGCGCCTGCGGACGTCTCATTTAACGGTTTCATTCCACGCACTTTTTTCCACGGACTTTTTCTTACGGTTTTACTATCACATTTTTTTCAGTTCGGTCGCGCAGCAAAATCCCTATCCCCTCCAAGCTTCGACGACATAAGGAACTTCGTTCCAATAAAAACATAGTTCTAGTAGTATTTAAGTACTCACAATAGCCTTCATGGAAACAGCGAGCGCAGTAAGCAGAACAGCTGCGGCTGCCGTAGAGCCCAAGAACAAAGGTCTTCTTCCAACCAGAGGCAACAAATACAGCATCAGTACTGCCGTACAAACGTTAATGAAGCCACAACCTATGGTAGCGTATTGAGCGTTCTGCTCTGTGAGGCCCGCTTGCTTGAAGATTGTCTGAGAGTAGTAGAACACCTGTGTGACAAAGAAATCTATAAATGAATGGTATCTTGAGCCTTTGATAGCGTAAGAACTGTTTATTTCATCATCAGCCTATTAATGTCCCTATAATAATAATATTTTCCACGCTCATACCAATAGGGTATTTGACAGTATTAAAAATAAAGTGCTAATTGTTAGCATCTGTGTTGAGAATGAATATTGGCAGGGATTTTTACTATTTTTACAGAAGCATATATTCATAATTTTACAAAAATCCACGAAAAACGTAATAGTTTTCTTATCTATTGTCACGTGACCCAAAACGCTTGGGATTGGCAGAGCCTAAAATGACGTCACACGCAAGTAAACTTCCGGTTAAAGTGACATTACATTGTATCGTTTGACGTTTTAATAACAGTCGGGTGACGTCACACACTAGTAAGACGCCATATTGTCCAGAGAAACGTTTTAGCGGCAACTTGAAAATGGAGTTTTTGATTTAGTTATTTTAACTGAAATACACAACAGAATGATGAATATCCACTTTTTACGGACTCCATAAATAGAGATCGTTTTCTAAAACTTGTCAAATACCCTATTTAGCCTAGCCCCAAAGTAAGCACTGTAAGGCTTGTGTTATGGGATGCTAGGGTAACGGATAGAATACATATATAAGTCATCATCATCATCAGCCTATTAATGTCCCCACTGCTGGTGTGCAGGCCTTCCCTATGAATGGAATAGGCAGATTGGGCCATGACCCACCACGCGGGCCCAGTGTGGATTGGTGGGAGCTAACGACTGCAGATGCAGCCGGGACCAACGGCTGAACGTGCCTTCCGAAGCACGGAGCAGCTCGAGATAGTAAATTTTGGTCACCCATCCAATGACCGATCACTGCGAAAGTTGCTTAACTTCAACGATCGCAGCCGAACGCGCTAATAAGTGATTAGCGCCATCGAACTCCACTATTTATTTACTACTACAAAATTAGAACTTTCAAACTATTTTTTTATATTATGTTTACTTCTAAATGTTAACACTTTTAAAGGTTCTTCATTTGACATTGTGGGTAACCTACAATGCTAAGAGATGGCGCTGCCTTGCAACCTAAGAAATACTAGAAGAAATTCGACACGGGCAATTAGTCTTTGTGCCGTGTCGGGTTAGTATTAAAGTGTAGTAGTTTGAGTTTAGTACCAAGTTTAAGAGGCCTTTGTTAGAGTTAAGTTTCGATATCATTTCTTATTTGTTGGGGCCTTATCAAAACAAAGTCTTAAAGTTTAAAATTTTCAAAAATAGTTTTTATTATATGATGTAACTAAAAATTTACAGTTTTCGCAATTTTTCCTTTATCTGTACTATAAGACGTTACATCGTACCAAATTTCTCGATTCTAAATTCACGGGAAGTACCCTGTAGGTTTTGGTTCCCGTGCGAGTTTCGAAGCGGCATAAACGGCTGTATATTTTGATTGCTTTGGCTTAGAAGTTTGATTTTCTCACAGCTCCAAGGGACAGTAGACATGAGTATTAGATACGAATTTCAGTTTGATACCTCCACGCGTTCCTGAGGAAAACGGTCTTGACAGATTGACCGACGGACAACAAAGTGATCCTATAAGGGTTCCGTTTTTTCCTTTTGAGGTACGGAACCCTAAAAATGTCGTAGACTTACAGCATTTATCCCGCTGGTCTGCTGGCCCGCTTGCATAGCGCAAACGAGCAGCAACGCTCTCCTAAGCCTGGTGTCTGCAGCCACTCGCTTCAGACCCCAGAATTCGTCCCCTCCCACGGGGGTGCGGGCTTCCTCTCTCAATAGCTGCACGTCCGCGGCTAGGATACTGCTCGATACGCCCCGCAAACGACTTAACGCTGAACAAATAAATCACTATTCAATGTGGATTAGATTGGTAACTAAGTAACTATGTTTTTATTTATTTTTAAGCATTGAACTGCTAGATGTGTAAATCTAAAGAAAAGTTTTCGCACCCTTCGCAATCCGGGCGAATGCACTGACCAATTATGCTGGTCCGCATGGATTTTTTCTAGTAAAACTTTTCTTTAGATTTAAACTAATTAAGAAATTTTGTGTATGACATTTTAGTATTCATTTTGTGCATGACATCATAATACATACTATGGACTTGACTTTTGATTTTAAATTATTTTTATTTGATGGAAATTGATGAATTTTAAATCAGTAATTTATAACATATTTTTCTTTGTAACATAATTAATCTGTTATTCTTATTAAATTATTATATTAAATTAAATAACTACCGCATTGAATTAATTTTAAATTAAATAAATGATTAGTTGTATTTTTAGTGATATATACCTACCTATCTTTATTGTAATTGATTATGAGTTATGTTGCTCGAAATAAATGATTTTTATTCATTTTATTTATTAAAAAACTTGACTGCTTCAATTATAATAATAAGCTATATTGATATAAAAATATACAAAGAAACCTAAAAATAATACGAGGACACCTCAAGTTGAGTAGATCGAATATGTAGGTAGTTTTTTTTTATTACAACAGTCGGTATATGTCTAGTACTAAAATAAGTTCTGTGTATATTTTTATGTCAATAAAGCTAATTATTATTATTAATAACTTTTCCGCTTCAATTTCACAAACAAGTAAAAATATAATTAAGTAAAAATTACTATTTGCATTGATCTTGACGTTCTCGAAGCTCCTATGCTCTAGCCCTACGATCATATTTATACTGAATCCGATCCGTAACGTTAAGATATTAATTAATCCTGCTTCATAAAAAAATAGATTTTGTTGGTACTTGAAAATACAAGCGAGATACCAAAATATAGCTATTTATATAATGTGAAAACACATCATATCTTTATCATGCTTTCAATATTAAAATACTGATTGAATCAGAAATGTCAATTCAACGTGCCTAATTCTATCATGTATTGACTTATAATAAATATATAAATATTTCCAACACTCACACCAATTAGCCTAGCCCCAAAGTAAGCACTGTAAGGCTTCTGTTATGGGATGCTAGGGTAACGGATAGAATACATATACAGAACATATATAAGTACTAGATGACTCGGCCAACTTCGTACCGCCCAAAAGTAATAATTTGCAATAAATTAAAATTGCGACTATAATTTGAGATTTAAACTATTCTATTAAGTAATCCTATCTCTCAAGTTGGATCGAACTGCACATGGTGTGCGAATTTTATTATAATCGGTTCAGTGGTTTAGGAGTCCACTGAGGACAAACATTGTGACACGAGATTTATATATATTAAGATATTTATACAGAAATACTTAATAAACATCCTAATAATGTTGTCTTAAAGTTTACATGACCAACATATAATATAAACGTTAAAGCTTTAAGCGCGTAAGTTTATCAACGTTTAAGTTAACACTAACAGAAATATTAACGTCATTAAAAATAACAATTGCTCACCATTCAATGCACTCTCTTCGTCTTTTCTAACAACAAACAGATATTTGGGACTTTCAGGCAAAATAAAAAGGACGGGTAAACAAATAATGACTAGCAACACGTAGACGGATAATAGATAAGGCCAATCGTCCACTCCACCTGTAACAAAATATTATAAATTCAACATTACATTCAAAATATTAATTTGCTACAAATACCATAGTAGTTTTCAGTTGTATTTTCACACTTGTCTGGGGAACTGACCTACACTTTCCAGAAGGCCGTAATAAAATAATCAATGTTTGCTGTAGATGTAGAAAATATATAACAAAGATGGGACTACGCATTACCTAAAAAATTGACAATTAAAACTGGGCAGATAAGAGTGACAGATTAAGCGATATGGCGACTCATACACTCGGCATCAAAAAAATCGAACCTCCGTGAAAATAAATTTCAAGCGTTATTAACCTTAACACGCGCATGTACCCCTACCAATATTGGTGACATTTGAAAGAACATTAAATAAACTTTAAAAATAAAAACCATTTCATTTTTCATTTAAAAAAAACTGATATCACAAACGTGACTTTAAAAAAAAGCAAATTTTGCTCCTCATAAGGGCCACTACCTTTAGTGGCGCCATTAAGGCTTACCTTTAAGGGATTTAAGGCTTTACCTTCAAGGGCCCTACCCTTAGTGTTATTATAATCTAAATAATAAAAATACCTACCTCAAATAGGCTTCTTTCAATGGAATTTGATTTTATGTAAACCGGCCGCATGTGCATGGGTGCAACACTCACCCAACAAAAAGTCGAGCCCCTTAACTTGTCCTAAAAGCACGCCCACGTTGACGCCCATGGGGCAGGCCACGCCCATACTGCCCGACAACATGAGCTGCGTCAGTTCCCGTCAGATACATACCCACTATCCTAACCATTACCACAGTCCAATCTCTGTATGTATAGCTGTAACACTCACCCAACAAACACTCATCTTGCCGGCCTGCACAAATGCTTCTTCACGCTTCTTTTAAAGGATCCCAGATTGTAGAAAGGAGACAACATGTGCGCGGGCAAAGAATTTCACTTGCGAATATTACGTCGAAGAAAAAAGTCACTTTATGCGTGTAGGTATAGTGGTCACGGTAAGTCGGCGGCAATGTTAGCGCGTATGGTCCTCTAAATGAAAGGGAAAGGTGGAATAAGAAAAAATAACTTCTCTGAACCCTCGCCGTAGTATAGACGATAGAACGCGGTTAATGGAGCATAATTATAGACTCAAGGCTGTTACTTACCTCCACACCGCATCGAGTAAATACTTAGCAGAGCCATCACAGATTTGAGAGCAAATTACCACACAGGCCCGCACTTAAGTCTGTAGTCACTACAACGAGCACAGTTGAATGGCTGTATCACTCACCCAATAAGAAGTCGAGCCCCATAACTTGTCCTACAAGCACGCCCACATTGACGCCCATGGGGCAGGCCACGCCCATACTGCCCGACAGGCTGAGCGGCGCCAGTTCGGTCAGGTACATGGGCACAATGCTCGTTGTCAAACCTGAACATCGATTAGTTTCATCAGCCTATTATAGTGTGATTCAAACGCGAAGGAAATACAAAGATGAGCTGCTGTATTCAATGCATCAAGCTTGTACGTATGTTGCACTAAGGCCCTGTGCCCACCTAAGCAACTTGACCCGTGATCTGTACCCTTAAAACGAGTTTGAGCTCTCGAAAACTATCATAGTTTTCGTAATTGTAAATTATGTTTCTATATCCATTTTGGTGAAAAGTAACCAAATATCCTTAAAATTTAAGAAGACGCAAATGATTTAATGACAGAATTTAAACACTGTTTATTTGTATTGAAACGAAAATAATAAAATCAGTACCCTTAGTACGAGTGCGAGCTCACGAAAACTATCATAGTTTTCGTAATTGTAAAACTCGTACTAAGGGTACTGGCATATAACTTGCCACGAGCATCAACATTCAAAGTAAATTTATAGGCTAGCGCCCATTTGCGTGGTTAGCGCGACACAACCTGATGTGCCACTCAGCGTGCTACTTAGTGACGCAATTAAGTGAAGCGCAACACAAAACTTGGAGCGATTATGTCAGTTACAAAGAAGAACGATTTAAAATTTAACTCGTAATTTATTGAATTGGTTCAAGAAAGACCATGTATGTGTATAATTCCTTCACAACAACGTATGGGACCACCAGTTTTTAACTCTTTTCCTACACCCAAAAGCGTCTTTGTCTGTTTTAACTATTTAAAATTTGTAAATAAGCAAGAGCATCTTGATTTTTATCACACGACGACATTGTCTCGAATGCCTTTGTACTCTGTAAAATCGCTGGCATGTCACCCTGGTGGGTTTATAGAATCTCATGGCTAGAGTCATGCTATACCGGTGGACAATTACGTTTCTGCTGCAGATGGTCACAACGACTGACGTCACTCAATAGTTCTAGTCCCTCAGCTCTGATATCAATCATACTTAAGTAAACGCGTAAATCAACAAACAAAAATCTGTACCTGATTGAATCCTGTCCGGTGCCCGAAACAAGTTAAATTGAATTTAAGTAATCAATTCCACTAAATGACTCTAAATATTTTGTACTTACAAGCTTACATGAAAATATAAATAAACACGACACTGCTGCCATCTACTTGAGAATAGCAGAACTTATTGGTACACGTCAGTTATGCTAACGTATTTAGTTTCTCTACTCACTTTATGTCAATAAATATCTGTTGGCATTCCAGAATGATCCCCGCACCCTCTCTCAATAGTTTCATTTCTTAGAGCAAACCCCCATACAACACCTCCTCTGTGTATTTACTCCGTGGATTCAAATTTTATGGTGGTTGTGAAGTTAGCAGCGATGCAACAATACGAAAGTGCGCCGGTTTCGGTTCAGTGACATCCCGCGTGCGTCTACATCAGCCTACATATCAATTACTGCGTTGCGACTTGTGCTAACTTCACAGCCTCGATTAAGTTTGAATCGCATAATAATAATTATATTTTCCAGGCTCACACCAATTAGCCTAGCCCCAAAGTAGGCACTGTAAGGCTTGTGTTATGGGATGGTAGAGTAACGGATAGAAAACATATAAAAGTATATTTTTGATAAAGAAATATATAAAAACATCCACGACTACGGTACAAATGCTCGCATTCAACATATTAACATTTGCCCTCACCGGGAATCGAACCTCATGAGTACGCGACGCCATGAAACCCGGCGTATATAATACTCGGCAACGAAGGTCGTACATAATACCTTCACTATTGAGACCGCCTTCCTAATAGATAAGATCGAAAAGGGAGGACAGGCTATGACTCACGCGGGCGCAGTATAGATTGATGGGTGTTAACGTTTGCAAATGCAGCCGGGACTAGGGTTACCATATCTCAGGATTTTTCCTGAGATTTCAGGATTTTTGGACTCTTCTCAGGATTGCGGCTGGATTTTGCAAATCTCATGAAATCTCAGGACTTTTTGAATTTCCAATATAATACAGCTTACATTTTAAAGATCTCTTTAATAAAAAGTTAAAAAAACTAAAAATAATCTTCTATTGGTAATAATTGCACAATTAAAATCAGTACTTATCTTATGCAAATAAATAAATTCTAATTCTAATTCTAATTCTAATTCTACTTTATTATCCAAGTAGGTACTTATTCAGTTTTATCATACTAAATATGTGAAGATACATTTTTAAGAAACATTTTTTCTTTAATTATGGGTTCATATAATACGCCACATGTTACTAATATCGATACCACAAACGATAATATTACGACTTTTTTAAATTGTTAAGTACGTTTGAGAGAAAATTATCAAAGTGTAAAAAATCTCAGGTTTTCAATGGAAATCAATCCTTTTCTCCGGATTTTTGATTTTATCATCTGGTAACCCTAGCCGGGACCAACGGCTTAATGTGCCTTCCGAAGCAACGGAGAGCCACAAATAATAAATTTTCTGATCACCCCTCCGGTGATCGGTTTTTCACACATTTGGAATTTAATTACCTTCAACATGAAGTCAGGTGTAGTCATATGTTGCGCCATTTATAAAACATACTCATGGTTTGTTTGACTTACCGCTTGATATTAAATTTGAAATATTTAAACTAAAATAAATGTAGATCTACGAGGTTATTTAAAAAAAAATATTTTATCTCCTTATCATACCGAAATTAATAAAAAAACAGTTCACGAGGAACAGACAGATGAATTTTACTGGCGCATCTTACGATATTCTTTGACCATCTTAAAATATTATTTGACCATCTTACCCCCCGCCAGTCCGACTAGCAGTCTCCCCAGCAGCAGCATCTCCACAGAGTTGGCGGCGCGACACAACACGAACAGTAACGCGCCCACGATGGACAGCAAACTGGTCGCTATGGTTGCCTTCTTCCTTCGATCAAACGTTTATTGGTCTAACATTTTTCATTTTGAATTAAATTAAAAATATATACTCTTAAAAAAAATCTAAGCAACATCTACGTTCGGATATTGCAGCACAGACTGAATAAATGATTTTTGAGTTTAAGTTTAAGTTTGAACTTTTGAACGATTTTTATTACTAATATATTTATTTTTATGCAAACAAAACACAATCGATGAGTTTCACTTCAAAAACTTTTCGATTCTTTCCTTTGTCAAATTCTTTTGGAAAGGATGAAACGGAAAACGGCGACTGCGAACGCGACAATATATATATAACTTTTTTTTTTTGTATCGCAAGCACCTACCTATCTTTGGTGGCCGCATACCATCAGGCAGGCCCTAAGATTGTTTGCCACCCTTTTAACATAAAAAAGTCACCAAAAGTTTATCATCTTTGTCTCCTCCATGCTTCAGAAAGTTGGGTTAAACCGTTGGTCTCGGTTACATCTGCAATCATTAGCCCCCACAAATCACACTGGGCTCGCGTGGTGGGTCAAGCAAGACCCATTCTCCCTATTCTATTCCTAAATAAAGCCTTTGCCCCAGCAGTGGGTACGTTAATAGGATGATGATACTTTAGTAATTTGTTTTTTTTTTCGTTTATTTAGGAAAACAAACAACTGTACAATAAATTTTGATAGCAAAGAAATTGATATAAACTTACTAATTGTACAATCAATACCGTTATCCTTAGTTTATTTATAAAAAAGAAAACATCTCAAAAATATAAAAATAACTAAAAAGTATTTTTGCAAATAGTGTAATTTAAGTGCATATTATTCTTCTTTATATAATACTTTCCTTCCCTTCAAACCAAGCATTCAAATGCATTATACATTTCAATACTTAGCTTAAAAAAAAACAATAATAATTTTAGGGCACTATTCAATTCTAGGGCATGAAACCATGAATTCACGAGACAAGTAAGTAGCTACCAAATAAAATTTTATACATTATATTTACATAGGCTTCTAAGTTTTGTAATAACTTCCTTTTTAAATGAGCGCGGTGATATTGTTGATATGTTATTAACAGGATTGCTACCTTGTACTTGTTTTTAAGAGTCCCCGATGTTTCGGCAATGTTGCAAGCGCCATGACCACGGAGCAATTGAAGTAATTGCGGGTAGGAATATCGGGGACTTATAAAAAACTTATAATGTTAATGACCATGAAGTTTAAAATAATAAATAGGTGATGATGTAAATTGTCTTGTGAAAAACACATTTTTAACTGAAAAATACTATACCTTCCAAGATAATCAGCTAGGACCGCACCCAGCAAGGAACCCGTACAGCCACCCACTATGAATATGGACACAACGGCAGACCACAACGTGTTCAATGAACTGTTGTCCAACACCACGCCGTAGTGAGCAGATACGCTCTCATTGCAGAACTGCTTTATCAACTGCAACAAACCGAGGAATAAAATGACACATAGGCGCCTAACGTATTAAACATAACATCAAACGCAATGAAAAAGTTATTGACGACGTGAACAATTGTATCTCTAAGGTAGTCCACTGGTTCAATGTTAACAATTTATTACTTAATGAAGGAAAAACGAAATGTATGAAATTTGTATTACCTAATGTAAAACAGGTAAAAACCAGTGTGAATGTAAAGGATAGCAATGTGGGCCTTGTAGACACCACAGTATTCTTAGGGATAACTTTAGATTCTAAGCTTGAATGGGGCCCACATATTGATAAATTGTCAAATAGACTTAGCTCTGCAGCATATGCCGTAATGAAGATACGCCAGTTAACGGATGTAGATACGGCCAGATTAGTGTACTTTAGTTATTTCCATAGTGTAATGTCGTACGGAATTTTATTGTGGGGAAATGCCGCCGACATTCAAACTATTTTTGTGCTGCAGAAGAGAGCTATTCGATCAATTTATAATCTTAAAGTTAAAGAATCATTAAGAGATAAGTTTAAAGAATTTGGAATAATGACGGTCGCATCACAATACATATACGAAAATTTATTACTTGTAAGAAAAAATATTAATTTGTTTCTTAAAAACAGTGATGTTCACACAATTAATACAAGAAACAAAAATAAACTAACTTTACCTGCAACTAGGCTTCACAAAATTAATAATTCATTTAAAGGTCTTTGTGTTCGCTTATACAATAAAGTCCCAAGCAAAATCCAAGAGTTAGCCATAAATAAATTTAAAGATATTATAAAAAAAACACTTATTAAAAAAGCTTATTACAAAGTGTCTGATTATATTACAGACAAAAATTTGAAAAAACACAGACAGAAAAAATTCCAACAGGTTTTTTATATTAAATAAATCATAATTGTATTGACGTTGTAACAACATAATGATTTGTAAATGTTGTTACAATAGACTTTTAATGTTGTAGAGTTTTTTTCGCTCGTTTTTCTCCGCAGCTAAAAAATATGTCCATAACGAGTGGTAGGGAAAAAAAATTTTTGGACGATTCAAAAGAGTTGTACTATACATCCAATTTGAATAAAGATATATTGATTGATTGATTGATCAAAAAAAGCACACGGACAGGTCAATTTTATTATGAATGAAACATTCTCTAAGGGGATAAAGAGATCTTCTAATTTAATGTCGTTATTTAAACCCAATACCCAGTCCAAAGCATAGAACAAGGATAATCTGAGTTGAGCAAGACGAGAGAATGAACGAATATCTAGAGCACTAAAACTCTTTGTTCTTGCCCATGACAAAGAAAATGTGCTAAAATAATCGTTGACCTTCATCAGTTGTCATCATCATCATCATCATCAGCCTATTAATGTCCCCACTGCTGGGGCACAGGCCTTCCCTATGGATGGAATAGGGAGTTTGGGCCATGACCCACCACGCAGGCATAGTGCGGATTGGCGGGAGCTAACGACTGCAGATGCAGCCGAGACCAACGGCTTAACGTGCCTTCCGAAGCACGGAGAAACTCGAAATAGAAGATATTTGGTCACCCATCCAATGACCGACCACTGCGAAAATTGCTTAACTTCTACGATCGCAGCTGAACGCGCTAACCACCTGCGCCATCGAGCTCTCATCAGTCGTAGAGGAACCAAAAGAATAAGTTACCTCGGCGGGGGTGTTAACAACTCCTATGTTAAACCCGACGGGTAGGGAGGAGCCCAGCGTTGTGGCCACTCCCGCCAGGATCAGGTAGCGCGACCATCCCGGCCGGTAGTCGTTCGACGACGTTAGCTGCTGCAGCTCATTGGTAACCTGGAATACAACATCAATTTTTATATTTAAGAAACGCATTGAAATACAGATGAATTTGCCTTTCATTCGCAATGACAGGTGTAGGATTCGATTCCTTTACCGTCTGCATGTAAGGCAAAACAACTTTTGTTTCTCTGTCAGTGGTATGTTATACCATCGACAGGAATGAAACATTTAAATCTAAATAAAATATTACCAGTAAAAATTCCACGCAGACCAAGCAGCAGACGGGACTCGAACCCGCACCTTTCGCTATCCGGGCGAATGCACAGACCACGATAGCCGTGTCGAATCCTTTCTAGCCTTTCTTAAGCTGCATGACAGCGCCATCTCATCGCATTGTGGGTAACCCCACAGCATAATGTAACTATGAAATATATTATCAAAATATCTTCTCAATAGGAGTATACAGACCAAAAAAACAAATCATTAAATAAAAACTACAGCTAGATAAAATTACATTATGTTATATGCTACACAACAGATATCAATGAAATGCTATTTATTTTTATTAAGACGGAAACTTACAAAAAATCCTAGCGTCATTTTCTTGAGCGTCTTAAAGCAGTATTTCCTAAAAGCTAACTAAACTAAAAACACTAGTCCAGTCTATGCGGCAAAATGCGCCTTATCACCACTTGTTAGAACACAAAGTTAACAGGGCAGTGGTCAAGTCCGCCAGGCATGGCAGCACTGAGCAGACGGCGAAGATCGGCCAGAACCAGTCGCACAGCCAGCCGTCCACAACGAAGTAAGTGAGCACTATTGAAGCTGCACCGTGCCCACCAATCGCTGATATAGGCGATTAAGGAAAACGATTGAGGTCAAATCAATTCATGCTAAAGGCACATCCACTTAACAAAGTTTTTTTTTAGATCGCCATATTTTTTTCCGTCTTTAACATGTCGAAATACATTTATAATTTTATTTTTTTAAGCACGAAACTGCTAGATCTATAAATCTAAAAAAGCGACGGGTTGCACTCCGTTGCACATTTTTGATATTTTGGAATGGTTAGGGAATAATTTTGCACGAATTGCTTTAATTATCAGTATAAAAGTACTATCATTTATGTGTAAGAATACATTATTTGTTTATTGCTCTATCGTACACAAACCACGACACAAACATGACAATTTATATTACATTAAAAAGTCTACCTCTCAGAAAAATCAACTTACATGAATCACATTTAAGCGCACCTAGCGACATCTATTGTAAAAAAATGCGTTTTCTTCGCAAAAGCTGCCACTTGGACGTCCTAGCTAGAAACTTATTATTATAATACGTTAAAATAAATTATTACTATGTTTCGTCCAATATATTGAAAGTCAACAACCTTTTCAATTTTATTGTTTTCGTCTAACGCCACGTGTCCTGACGCGAGTTTAACATTTTTTACTTATACACAAAAGAGTACAACGCCGCCAAAGAAGTTTTCACTTCAAAAATTTTACGAGAAAGAAATTCACGCGGACTACAGACACGGAGGCTACAGGCCTTCGCTATCCGGGCGAATGCACTTACCATTATGTTACCGCGGAACTAACGGCCGTATTGAATTTTCTCTAGACATTCTTAGGCTGCAAAGGCAGCGCCATCTCTTTGCATTGTAGGCAACCCACAATGTAGCATAATGGTCAGTGCATTTGCCCGGATTTCTAGTAAAATTTTCTATATAATTCTTGTTCAACAAATTCAGACTTTATAACAATCATCGGTGGTTTAGTGATAGAAAGCTCGCCTACTACGCGGGCGGCCCGACTTCCATTCCCAGCCAAGTGAGGACTCTTTTTTTTAATAATGATTTTAAAAGTGTCACTTGCATCATAGTTTTGTAAAACCACAGAATTTTTCATATATCGTCCAGTAAATTACTTCATTGATTTTATGGTAGGATAAGCGATAAGATGCAGAAAAGAGTGCGCTTCAGTTAACCTCACTTTTTCGTTTGTTCCTCAATTTTATTTACGAGAATTCTGGAACTAAGTAAATGCCTATAGTATGTCGTAAGCTTTACAGCTACTCAATATTACTCCACGTCACTAATATTATGTAACAATGACCGAAATAACGCATCGTATCTATATTAATACTTATAAACTTCTATATTTAGAATCACGTGCTTAAATCAATTCCACTCAATTTAGAATTGTTTAAGGCGTTGGGAATATGTCGCGTCCGTCATCAATGACGATAAGTTTGTTGATCTTAAAACGAATGGTTGAGATGTAAATAAAATCTGTAATGAGTACTTCTTTATAAGCAATACCTCAAATACATACCTATAAATCAACGATATTAAATACCCTAGATACACCAATACGAACAAAATCGTGCCCGAAACCTGTCCAAAAAGTACATTAGACGATCCAAGGAGCTCCGTAAGATGATCGCGTAGTCGAAATCAACTTAAGGCATTATTTAAACATTGAAAGTCACCTTTAATGCAAACTGTATAAGATCTTTATTATGCATGTGTCAAAGAGTTAAATCAGTTTATAGTAAGTATTAAAACAAATTTTCCTTCAAATTCATTTAATAACTAACTTTGATTACATACCTCTCGAAAAAACGACACTTTACAGACTAAAAGTATTTTTTTCGCAATTTTTCACGGAGCTCTGCGGCAATTTGACTTTTTAACGGTCCGCGCGTGTCTGTGAACCAAGAAGTGCTTGAGCACTTCTTGATCGGGACACATTTTGAGCGCGCACGCGGAGTATCTAGGGTATTTAACATCTTTGCTATAAAATATCGAATTTCGTAACAATCATAGCCGAAGCTTTTAATTTTGTATGAAATCACATCAAAATTGTTGTTCTAAAAATGTATAAATATAAAGATACAACGTTCAGACTATTATAACGTGTCTAAAGTAAGTCGTTTAGTTGCACATTGGACTTTTTTGGAATAAAATTACCTACCCACAGCCAAGCAGCTAATTTTAGAATGGCCAATAAATAGTCATAATATGCCGGCGGAACTTCACACCGTATATTATTGTTATTAATTTATATTCTTTGCGGATTAACAGTGTCAAAGATGCGCCTGTATGACTTCAAAGTAACGTTAATAACTAGAAACGTAAATCTTATCACCATACATAGAGAAAGAGTTAGTGCGCTTGTTAACGAGCCGGCTTGAGTTTACATTAATTTATGTTATTTACGAGATTGTTACCATGTACCTTATTTTAGCGAGTTTCCGATATTTCGACACTGTTGCAAGCGCCATGATCACTTAGATTAAAACAAAAAGGGTAGATACGGTACGCTCATACTTGCATCAAACAAAAACTGATCCCACGGCGGCAGCGCGAACAAGACGGCGAGATCCGCGTCACTGCACTACCGACCCAATCACGCGACCAGTACTCGACGTCACTACCGAATAAGATTCAAAACAAACAGCAATTTTTATGAAAAAATATATTTTATAGTACTTACGAATGAAAAGCGATGCCGTGGGTTTTATTTTTAGTTCTTGAGCAATTTGAGCACTTTTTAAAAACACACTTTGGCATCGTTTTATTATATAAACACAAAATATCAGCAATATTTCTTTTTGGCGTTCACATGTACATCGGTTGCATGTCAAGTTGTGACTAAAGCGATTAGGGTCGTGGACCACAATTTATGCTGATAACTTTTATGAAGCTAGTGCCGTATCTACCCTTTTTGTTTTAATCTAAGCATGATCACGGAGTAACGGAAGTAATTGCGGGTAGGCTATTATTGGCAAACATATCGGTCTACCCTCCGTCGAACTATTTTATTGCGATACATATAAAAAACTGTAATGTTAGTGACCATGAAAGTTTAAAACAATATAACGGCTAAGTTAGTTCACGAGCATGGTTTGCATGTTTGTACCGACAGAAACCACTGCAAACCGTGATTAACGCCTGTGTCGTGCCTAGACCCGGCAGATAGCCGTCTCGTTAACAAGCGACCTTAGAAGAAAAGGATACATATCAGCGAGACAGTGGGTGAGAACATGGTTAGTCCGAGGATGAACGTGGTTAGCTCGATGAGTATGAAAGCTATGGAGACCGCAAAGCCAGCTACCAACCTGCGAACATGCACACAACAACCTCGAGCTAGCACTTCACATGGTTATTCGTATTCGCTCTTGTTATATTGACAGTAGGTTGTCTTTATCATACTCTTCAGGGAGTATGAAAGAGAGACTTATGTTGTTACTTGGTTATTGGTATTTGTCATAACAAAATTTGACAGCAACCTTATGAGAAATGAAAAGGAAAGACCGCCAAAACAAAATTGTTGAATCGATTAATAAGACAAAACGAATAGCCATATAAAGTCTAGCATCACATTAACACATGGACAAGACATAAATCACGAGCTATATACATAATACAGGATTAGGATTTTTATGGCTATATAGGATATGGAAGTAAATGACCCGCCTGCAGTCATCATAGCCTTATGGCAGAACTTCACTTAACTGATGTGTTGTATTGTGACGCGTCAGATATATGTATCGGTTTCATAAATTTAGTATGTAAAACTCGCTGGCTTGTGGCTTGTAATCTCGCCCCGTGTCATCGAGGTCGTTAGATTTTTTTACGAAGTAGGTAACCCTTTGTGTTAGAAGTGAGACATCACATGCACATGGAAAAGCGGCAAGTCGCTTTAACCGTTGCTTTTGTCCCGAGTAAACGAATTCATAATACAGTCTTACGTATCCTATAGTACTAGTCTTGTTCTGTGCCCTGAAACATCAATTCTAGATAAATAACCATGACATTGATTTGATTTGAGATAATTATATTATCTACAGAGCCATAACCCACAAAATAGATTTACCTTAGTGCACATTAATTATGAATTAATAGCAGACGGTATAATATCATAATATAAAGGTTCGATTGATAAATAATCTTACTGAACACTAAACGCGTTGTATTTTATCTATTCAGCAGTAACAGGAAATTCTTGTACTACAGTACAAGAATTGCTGGCACCAGTAGATAAATATTCCTTGTTCTTATATGGACCACTAGCTGTGCCCCGCGGTGTTTCCCGCGGTTTATGAGGAATATTTCCCTGCAGTAAAACGTAGCCTATGTGTTATACCAGGGTGTCAGCTAACTCCATACCATTTTTTTTAAAGCGCTCCAGACGCTTTGCCGTGAAGAAGTAACAAGCATACACACTCACAAACAAACACTTTTATAATATTAGTGTGATTCGAGGGAAACCACCTCCACCTTGGGACCTGGTGCCTAGCCACCCTAAAGTAAAACGGAACCATACGTAACTATTAAGTGATTTGTGACCAACGGTGCCGCATCGGGTAGAATGCACGTCAAGACAATATCGTAACTCTTTTCAGGCACCAATTATAGGGTTCCGTAACCCAAAATGTGATAACAAGACCCGCAAATTCGCAATTATGTGTGGGAGAATTAACCTCAATATTATAAACCTTAGTTTAACAAATTTCTTGATATGATGAATATTTTCTTATCCCCTTTCTAGTTTTTTTTATTGAGATTGCACTGTATTAAAAATGAAATCAAGAAATAAAAATCTATTTAATATTTCAAAGGTGGGACAGATAAACATGTGATATTAAAATCACTTTTCGGTAACCATCAGTAATCCAACCATTATAAACCTCATATTTTGTAAACTAGTAAGGGTAGTAATAACCAGTTTTGACCAGTTATTGTGGCAGGCAGGTCATGTTGTCTTCTTAAGGCAATGCAAATGCAAAGGTTTAAATATTTATACACCTTTGAGAATAGTTTATAAATTTAATGGTAGATTGTACTGTTATTAAAAGTAAATGGAAGATTTAGCTCTGAACAATTGTTGGTCTTTGTCTGAAATATATATATATAAAGTATAGTACATAATTATTAACTAACAAGACAGTTTTATAAAGTTCAAGGTTTATGCTTGTTATATTATTTGATAAGTAAGCATGTATTCAAATCAAATACGAAAATAAGTTAAAATAATAAATATTGCAATGGGAAATTTACTGGGTGCTAAAGAAATCTAAAAAAAAATTAATAATAACACAATTGCGAAGAGTCATATTCACAATAGCATGATGACCTTTTTAATAATAATATGAGTTTAGTAAATCAAATCAAATTACTTACTGGAATGGCAAACTATCAAAGTTCAATACATTGAAATGGATAAATAAAAAAAATACTTCAAAATAAAAAATCTTCATTTGCAATTAAGTTCTCTCGCAGTTAAGTATAGTTTGCACAGAAAAATATAAAATGCTAATAACTACATTAGTCAGAGACTGTTGCAGTTATTAGCTCTTTGGGATGTTTGTTGTATGTTATGACCAAAAGTAACAAAATTACTTTTTCAGCCTTTGTAACTTAAACATAAAAGAACATTTAATTTCATCAATATCTATTAAATATCACTCATGTGTATCTGCATCAAAACAGAACTAGACAATCAAGAAATTTGATTATTTTAAAACATACAAGTAAAAATAAATATTCCAGAATAATAAGTTCCATTAATAGTTTACAAAAACAAGTACACTTATCAAAATTTGGTGTCAATACCTTTTTATTGTACGCATTTCAGTAATTGATCCTTCAGTAGAAAAAGAGAATTAATGGAACAGCCAAAGATCTTTAAACAATTAAAATATTAATCAAATAACATAATTTTATCTTCAGTCTGATTGACTTTTGTGAGTGTCCAGTGTACATGATGCACTCTCATGTCATCAATGCAACCACTGTTTAAGATTCAATAAGAGTCAATTAAATAAATAAAATAATAAACATAGCACTATTTGATTCATTGCTCAGCTAAGAATGATAGCGCATAAAATATAATTGTCTGACTCTATTTTATTACTTATTAATTTACAAAACATACATAATATTCATATACTGGAAATGCAGGCATATTAAAGATTCAGATTATCTGAATCTAGTCAGCTGGCCTATTTGCTAACTTTTTAACATTTACAGTGTTTAAAGTAACTAAAGAGAAATTTGCAAATCCATTGATGCTTTTCAGAACAAGCCATTTTAGTGGTATTATAATAAAGCAGTAGTGGAGCACTGAATAGCTTAGTGATTATCCCTTCCATCTGTAAAAAGCAGTTAGAGAACAGGCCTTCTGGACCAGATAGGAATTATCATCACAAACACCTAAATGCTGCCACATTTTGTGAATCAAATGTATGTCATCAAAACATACCAGCAAGGCAGAAAAATGGAAATCAGAGTATGAATTAACACCATTTGTTTGATTCATACGAGCAACATTTTTTTTTATTAAATATCAGACACAGCACAAGGCATAGAATACATTGATAGGGGCACAATGCGTAACTTCAGCAAAATTATTCCTGGCAAACAAATGGTTAGAAAACCTGAAGCATGCGACCAACTAACGTGCCATGCGTTGTTAAATAAATTATTATTGAATAATTAATGTATATGACTTACCGGTTGTGATAAATCTGGATATAATTCGAGTGATATTGGCTTGGTAAACAGTGACGTACGCTCTGCTTGCTCTCCCATAATAACGTTACAACAACACACAAATGCCCAACGAGGGTCAGAAAACGAGCTGGTATTAGTGTGCCGGCTCCTCTCATACCGTTGTTGCTGATAAATATGTAATAAATTATATCGTTTTAGCAAAATTGAAAACCAAAACCACGCAGTCGAACACGCACGAACGAACGGGATCGGGAAACCAGGCGAAGACGAGGCGAGAGACAAGCGAGAGAAATTGGTTATCACTGTCAAAATGCTTTCTTTTAACGTTTTCCCTTTTTAGGGAAGGCAAAGGAAACATTGCCCATACAGCGTAGTCTTCAGTTTTCTTTGTTTTTTTTTCAATAGAATAAGGGTCTCACGTATTCTAATAAAATGTATCAAGTCAGCTTTCTCGATAAGCTCCTGTGAGGTAGGCAACACTGCAATAAAGTTCTCACGTCCATTTGACCGGAATAGCGTATATTTTACATAACCATCTGGTTGTAACACATAATTACACCAATTCTTTTTCACAATATGAATTACTTATTCATAGCAGTAATCGAGCCTTGCTTTCTTGTATTTAAAAATCCATCCAAGCCATCAAACTGATAATCACTTAATTGAAAATGCATGGTATTTGACAGTTACACTCGAAAATCAAGCCTGAGCTTATAACAAAAATTCCATACATTTTCTGTTTAACGATTGCAATAGCTTGTGTTCAAAGGTATCTTGTCTCCCCTAGTCAGGGTCGTTATGTGACTAAAAAAATTATTATATTGATTCAGTTGGCGTATACAGGTGGAATAATATACAAAATAAATGGCAATACTAAAGTCTGTTCATTCTAACTTGTCCTATTTGGTAAACAATCTTGGCACAACTTTTTCACAAAATCACCAATTTAAAAATAAAAATAATAACAAAGTCAATAAATAATCTATTACAATAAATCATTATTATAGACTGAAACCCTTTGAATCTAGTATCAGTTCATTTTTAAAACTGTATTATAAAGAAGAGTGCCAAGATTGTTTACCAAATAGAACAATTTAGGATGAATGTCAATGCAGTGTTTTATTTTATTTTTTTTATTTTACTCGGCTTTTATTTGTATCAATTACAACTTGTAAAATTTGTTTATATTTAATTAATAATATTAGTGTAAATGTCTATTCTAGACGTTCAACTTTGCTCCAAATATGATTTGGCTGATGTCCTTTATGCATAACTTTATTTTTAACCAACATCATTATTGTTGTTTTTCTTAAGGGATGGCAGTCCGCCTTGCAATCCGCAGCATATGCAGGGTTGTGAACGTTGTCGCAGCCTACATGGCGCGGGCGCCCGGCAACACCAAGCAGCATGCGTCTTGAGTCCTGCACACTTTACTGCAATGCAGGATCCCTTTAAAGTGAAATTTATATTACATTGCAACATATTTTTTTTCATTCATCTTTAGCATGTCGCATAACGTTTTAAAATTGTTATTAATAATTCAGGCCTTATCAACAACCATTGTTGCCTCAGTGGTGAAAAGTTCGCCTGTTAGGCGGGCGTGGTTTCTAATTCCAAACAAGAAAGGATTTGTTTTTATTAGATTTTTTCTAAAAGTTTCACATAAGTTTATATTCGTTTATTAAAACAACACCATCTTTTTATTAATGTAGGTAGGTATTAAAGGATCATAATTTCATATCACGTTACAACACAGAGTAACTGTTTATGTTTTGTTTAGCATGAGTGCAAAACCTGAAAAACAAATACTTGATTAAGCTGTACGTACAAACATCGAATCTCTAGCATTCTCAATGAGAAAATTTTAAAAAGTACAAAATGCCGGGCGGTATCTATTTACGATCTGTCAATGTCACCGTCCGCGTCTGTCATTATTTTTAAAAACAGCTTCAGTGTTTTTAGCATTTTCCATAAGTTTCACTTAATTTATTACCACTTTCCGATAATAAATGAAGCTTTTAAAACCTAGTTGGGTCAACCATGACGGTAATATATAATTTCATAAGAAACCACACTTGTTATCGCTTGATAAGTGGTTTATTGAACTTTGCATAAACTTTCAGACAAACCAATATTTTCCGTGGATATTCATCCAGCGGGTAAGCGTTTCGCCACTGGTGGACAAGGCGGTGACTCTGGTCGAGTGGTTGTATGGAATCTTAACTCTGTGCTATTCGAGTCTGTCGAAGTGGATCCAAATATACCTAAAATGCTTTGCCAAATGGACAACCATTTGGGTAAGTTCTTCAATACAAAGTTTCAGTGCATTTTTTGATGTGCAACATCTTTCCTCACGCTTTCCTGCAATTTGTGGGTTTCGGATTTCGTGAAATGGGACGAAAGCGCGCGCTATTTGATTTGATTTTAGAACATAATGTTCAAATTGCTTATTCCTTTTGTAGAAGGTTTTATTTCTTTTTTTACTAATATAAGGTGAGGTTTCGAATGTTACACATCATATGCGACTACACTAATTTATATTAAGTTTTTATTAGGAGTGCAACCGCCTGTGCCGCTCTGGTAATGCCAAAACATTCCACCTGGAAGATTGTGCTTTGTTTGCCTAAGGTTGTAGATATTTTTATATTCAGGTTGTTTGAGAAGACACCGGATCCAGTACCACTGTTGGTTTTGAAGCCATCTGTGTATATCTGAACATCCCAGGCGTTCTCTGCCTTTTCCGCAGTAAGTTGGATGTTGTATCTTCGATCAAAGATGTGTTGACTCAACATTCTATCCATAGGTGCCTCCAGGAGTGGGATCTCCTTCGTGCACTTATGTAGAATATTGGAGTGTGTTGTTACTGTATTTAATCTCCATAAGCCTAGAGAGGCTGCTGCTTTTTGACCTCTTCTTGTATGACCAGGTCCAATGGTCTTAAATTCATGAGGTACTCTAATGCAGCCGATGAAGTTGTTCTCATGCATCCAGTTGCTGCTACGCTCACCAAGTGTTGTAGACTTTGGAGTTTGGATTTCACTGTGGTCAGTTGGGTCCTGGGCCACAAAACAACTGAACCATAGGTTATAGAGGGCCTGATGACTGCTGTGTATAACCAAAGGGTGATCTTTGGACTGAGACCCCACTTTTTACCAACTAGTCTTCTACACTGATTAAAAGCTTTGCAGGCCTTCTTTGTTTTTAAATCAATATGACTTGCCCAATTCAGTTTGTTATCAAGGATTACGCCCAGATGAAATCAGGAAGTGAAATCACTTGTGTTGATAGGGAGAGTTTGGTATTAAACAGTTTTGGAAACTTTTTATATTATAATACGAGGGGGAGGTCAAAAAGTTCGCGGAATAAGAGGGAAGGAGGTTGAAATTAAACACCAAACTATTTTTCCTTTTCAATATATTCTCCCTTAACCCTAATACATTTTTCAGATCTCTCAAATAACTTGTTTATACCATCGAAAAAAAATGATTTGTCTTTGGTGTCAAAATAGGCCGAAATTGCGGACTTCACTTCGTCATTGTTGTCAATTTTTTTTCCACGCAGCTCTTTCTTCATTTTTGGAAATAAATTATAGTCACTGGGTGCCAAGTCTGGACTGTAGGGTGGGTGGTTCAATTCTTCGAAGCCGCTTTGGTGAATGGCAGCCATCGCAACATGGCACGTGAAAATGGGTGCATTGTCGTGCAGAAGGAGCACACCTTTTGACAGCTTTCCTCTTCTTTTTTCCTTGATGGCTTCTTTTAATCTTTCTAGTAAAGAAGCGTCGTACTATCCCGTTATAGGCACACCACGTTCTTTATAATCGATCAGTAAAATACCTTCTGTATCCCAAAAGACAGTCGCCATGATCTTGCCAGCCGATTGTGTCACTTTGAACTACTTTGGAGGAGGTGTGCCATTTTTATGCCACTGCATCGACTCCTGCTTTGACTCGGGTTCATAGTGGTGAACCCAGGTTTCATCACCAGTAACGATTCGGGCCATAACTTCTTCCTTTCTCTCTCCACAGAGCTCCAAAAACTGGCGAGAACACTCGACACGCTCGCGTTTTTGAATTGGCGTAAGCATTATCGGAACCCATCTTGCACTGACCTTAGTCATCCCAAGATGATGATGTAGAGTATTCAAAATACTTGTTTCACATACTTCAATCATTGCTGCAAGCTGCTTCTTCTTCAACCGGGCATCTTCCAATACAAGTTTTTCACCTTTTTGACGATTTCCGGTGTGGTGGCCTCAATTGGCCGTTCGGAGCGGGGGTCGTCTTCAATGGACTCTCTTCCTTGTTTGAAAAGACCAAGCCACTTGTAAATCATGGTTTTACCAAGGGCAGAGTCCGCGTAAACCGCCAACAGCTCTTGAAAAATAATCTGAGCGGATTTTCCTTGCTTGGTAAGGAACTTAATAACGGCGCGGTATTTAATTTTCTCCATACTGGCTGACTTCTTCCCGATTCAGTTGTTTGCAGTTCGATAATTCAAAAGTTAATGACCCGATTAGGTTTAAACTTGGTATATATACTCTTAATGAGGCGCTCAACTAGTGCCTACCAGGATGAGTAAACCTACCCCCACCAACCCCTCCATTCCGCGAACTTATTGACCTCCCCTCGTATGCAGATCAATGGGAAGCCACTTCAATTTCTTTTTTTTACTTAATTATTTATTTAAGAATAATTTTTAGAAAATATGAGATGCTGACAGTTACTAACATAGTGAAACAAAACTCCAAACTTATAATAATATAGACCTTATCTGTTCTGTTTTCAGGGGAAAATATAGGTGTACATTAAGAACCTCATATATTTCTTCCTTTATCCATATATACATATATACATACACACACATACAATACATATTTATATATTATAAGTGGGGACTGAATAAGCATAATACAATATGTGAAATATACATTTTTAATGTTTAGAATATGAGGGTTCTATAATTCACGATCATAAACTCACGATCATGAGGATGTTGCTGTTTGGAAGTTCTTAAATAATAATTGTTTCACTTTCCCGCAACAGACCCATATCAAGGACCTCACGATGCTCCCCCAGGGTAAGCAAGTCGTGCGCTCGGCAAATTTCCTCGTACGTCGATTTAACATGAATTTTCCGAAATCTAAAATTCAAGTGGCAAATTTCTTCTGTATGCCTTCGATACGATTAATGTAAATATTGTAATACGGGCCCCATATTGGGGCCGCATTTTCTAAGAGACTATGCACGTATGCATAATAGAAAATTTTTAGACTTAAGGGACTATTAAAAGGACGACATGTACGCATAACAAAACCAAGGTTGCGATAGGCCCTCCCCACTATAGTGTTTATATGTGTAGACATTACCATTTTACTGTCAAAGTACACTCCTAGATCACGGACCACATCAGATCTCACAATCGTTACATTATTGAAATTGTAAGGAAACACTATAGGATTAGGTTTACGGGTTAAACTGATGCATTGACATTTACTAATACTTATTTTTATATTTTTTTTGTTATAATAATTGAAAAGATTATTTATATCGTCCTGCAACTTTTGGCAATCAGCAACATCGCGCACACTCGTGAATATCTTTTTATCGTCAGCATACAGAAGATGGTTTGAGTTCTTGATTACCTTATCTATGTCGTGGATATACGCATTATAAAACAGAAGACCGAGATGCGAGCCCTGTGGAACTCCAGAAGGGATAGTGACAAGAACGACCATCTGAGACCTTTTAGTTAAGTAAGATTGGACCCAGCGTAATAAATCACCATGAATATCGAGGCATTGAAGTTTATGGATGAGGATACCGTGGTCTACGCGGTCAAACGCCTTTTCTAAGTCCGTGTAAATTACGTCAACCTGTCCACCCTTCTCCATTCCATTAAGAACATAATTTGAAAACAGTGTTAGGTTCGATACAGTAGAGCGGCGTCTCAAAAATCCATGTTGATTCTGCGGAATACCTTTAGCAATGGTGGAGTAAATTTGCTCAAGAACTACCTTCTCGAATAATTTACTTACCGTGTTGAGGATCGAAATTGGCCGATAGTTCTCTATGAGAGAACTCAGACCCCTTTTTATGCCCTGCCACGATTCTGGCCTGCTTCCAAACATCAGGGAAAATACACTCTTTAAGCGATCTATTAAACGACATGCTGATAGCGGCAGAAAGACTTTCCGCGCAAGATGCCAGCAGTACTGGGGGCACGCCATCACATCCAGTAGCTTTAGTTCCGTCCCAAGACTGCAGAAGCTTTAGTACTCGGTTTTCGTTTATATGGATCCGGGCAAGATGCTCCTCGCTACAAGGAATTCCCTCCCGCAGTGGAGGACGTGATTCAGTTGAGCTCACAAAAATGCTCTCAAAAAACTCACTGAAGGCCATGCAGGATATATCCTGCATATATGAAAAAGTTTTAGGGTAACTGCTGGTATTCCTTTTACTTTTGATATAGTTCCAAAAATATTTGGGTGACTTTTTCAAGAGTTTTTCGGATGGATCAATAAAATGCTTAAAACAAGTTTTCTGTAATCTATGCTGTTGTTCTCTAAGTAACTTGAACTTGTTATAGTCCCTGGGGTTACCATATCTTTTACAGCGTCTATGTACTAATATCTTTTCTTTGTTGATTTTTATTAAGGCAGGACTGTGCCAAGATGGATAGGCCCATTTAGGACTATTTGACTGAGGAACAAATAAAGAAAAAGAAGTTTTTAATTTGTCATAGAATAAGTTGACAGCGTCGTTAACTGAGCTACTTAATAACAACTCATCCCAATTAATTTTACTAAAGTATTCATTCAGTCTCCCATAATCACACTTATAAAAGTTGAACTGACGAGTTTTGATGTCTACTAGAGGGTTCACTTGTAGGTCCATTACCCAAATATCAAGAGCAGGATGGTAACCATCCTCTGTGATAATTGGCTTCTGACACTGCAAAATTTTACAGCACTAAAGCATAAGTCCAGAACTTTCCCCGTCTTATTAACGACTAAGTTATACTGTAAAAAATCAAGGAAATATAAATGATCAACAAACGTATTTGCACAGTCTTTAAGAATCCTAGAACTTGTACCAGTAGTTATATAATCGTTATTATTATTCCAACTTATGCAAGGTAAGTTAAAATCGCCTAAAATAATGATTTTATATGAGGGATACATTTCTGTATAGTCTAGTATGCTATTTGCAGTTTGGGTTAATCGATTAGAAAAAAAGTTGAAAACCGGGGGAATGTAAATTAAAAAAAACATGCAAATTATGAGACGAACCAATTAC